ATGTCTAATATGGAGTATATGGGGAATCTGTGTTTCTTGACCTATCCTTCGTTTACTATAATCCCTTCACATGTGAAGTCAATGGTTACCTTTGCTCCAGTATAATGGGCCTAGTTTGAAACTTGCATGTTTAAGTGAATGGGAGTGATGATATAACTGCTTATTCCTCCAATATGAATATATTTTGCTGTTTCAAACTTGGGCTTTGCTTGACCTCTCACCTTTGCTAGTAAGGGAGAGGTCAGGCAAAATGCTCCACGAATCCCATGATGATTTTCCTTTGCTCTTCTTCTCCTAATTCACTAGGGACTGTTTTGACTCAAGCAATATGACTGATGCGTCTATCCTCTTGTTATCTATCAGGTGATATGATGTGTCACTGATGGTCCAGTATGGATAGTCTAGATGATAAAGCATTCAGATGTTCCATTAAACAACTACATATGGAAAACCACTCTCATGTATTAGCTCTGGATTATATCCAATAGTATCTAAAAGTGTCTAAAAGTGTTGATAGTATCTAAAAGTGTCTAATTTCCTAATTGGGAGCAACACATTGTGAGCATTGGATTGGTTTCTAATTTCATGATATTAGCACTAATTCCATACCAAAAAGTCTTTAATTAGCAGTAAGAAACAGTAAGTACTACTGCTCTATTAGTAAAAAGGTAAAGATGTGGCACATTCTACACTATTTTAGTATATTACTCTCCTTCATATATGCCTGCACCATTATCTTGTAGCTCTTTTGCTAACTTTCCAGCTGCCTTTACAAGGGATATAGAAAGAAAGAAATGTGCATTGATGCCCCCAGCCACTTTGTTGGCAGCTTGGCAGCTGCCACAAGAGGCTATGAAGACCTCAGTACCTTGGCCTTGCACACAAGATCATTTAAGTTATCATTGTTAGCCAATGCCTGCTACTGGTCATTATAGGACACAACCTGTGGGTTGGACTTAGGGATATGCTATATGTAGCCTTGCAGACCTTGTCTATTAGTACAGTGGCTAATACTGTCTTGTGCAGCACACAATCATCATCACTATTAATACTACAATTTTTAGCACTATTTATATTGTCTATTACTTGTTATACAGAAGATGCTCAAACTTGGTGTTTTTCTCTAGCTATTGGGGTGTGGAAAAGACAGTTATGTTGGTATGTGGTGCCAGAATAATATATTTGCCTGCCATACAGGAAATATGTGCACTAAGCATATTAAAATCATTTCTAACAATCTTGTGCTTATTTATATATAGGCATGCCATATATATACCCTTGTCCCCACCCTCCACCTCACTAGTGGCTATTTGGAAAACCCCTCTCTCTTATTAGATCTGAATTATTGATAATCATTAATGATACTAATTTGAGCTAATTATGGCCAATTATTCATAATTATGTTTTTGATCAAATTTGAAAATTAAGATAGCATTGTTTATACTAGTAGGGTCCCATTGGATATTATACTCAATTATAGTTTTACACATTCTAAATCTAAATTGTGTAAGTGCCACAATCTATTTTTATCCTATATAAAGTGTATTATTGATTTTCCATTGGTTTATTATCTTCTTAGCTGGTGTTTAAACTAAATCCTAAAAGACCTGACTTTTTGGGTATTTATTGTCCTGTTTATTTATTGGATAGAGGAAAGATAAATGTTGAATAAAATCAGAGATGTTGAGGTTGCCTATATTATGTCTACTTATTTAGATTACAAAGTTTATATATTAGACCTTGTGGCTTAGTGGCCTAGAGCATCTGTTTAGGGTGCTTGTATACATGAGGTTGTTGGTTCAACTCTGGCAAAAGGCAAGTTTGTTATAAGGTATATTCTGTGTTTAGGTATTTAATTAGTGCTCTAATAGACATGACTCTATAAGAAGGCTATGAGAACTGTGATGCTTGATTTATTATGATTTTTCAGAAATGACAAGCTATAATCAATTCTAATAATTCCTAATTTAGAAGAATTATGTCTAATTAGAACAGGTTTAGAGAGGGGGTAAGCTAAAAATATCTAATCCTAATTGTTATTAATTATGCATAAATAGAATTAATCAGAGCTTAATACAAAGGGGTGGTTTTCCAGATGTAGGCGTGCCATACATATACCCTTGTCCCCACCCTCTACCTTACTAGTGGCTATTTGGAAAACCCCTCTCTCTTATTGGATCTTAATTATTTATAATCATGTTTTTGATCAAATTTGCAAATTCAGGTAGCATTGTCTATACTAGTAGAGTTCTATTGAATATTACACTCAATCATAGTTTTACACATTCTAAATCCAAATTGTGTAAGTGCCACAATTTGTTTTTACCTTATATAAAGTGTATTATTTATCTTCCATTGGTTTATTATCTTCTTAGCTAGCGTTTAAACTAAATCTTAAAAGACCTGACTTTATGGGTATTTATTGTCCTGTTTATTTATTAGATAGAGGAAAGATACATGTTGAATAAAATCAGAGATGTTGAGGTTGCCTATATTATATCTACTTATTTAGATTACCAAGTTTATATATTAGACCTTGTGGCTTAGTGGCTTAGAGCATCTGTTTAGGGTGCTTGTATACATGAGGTTGTTGGTTCAACTCTGGCAAAAGGCAAGTTTATTATAAGGTATATTCTGTGTTTAGGTATTGAACTAGTGTTCTAATAAACATGACTCTATAAGAAGGCTATGAGAACTGTGATGCTTGATTTATTATTATTATTCCGAAATTTCAAGTTATAATCAATCCTAATAATTCTTAATTTAGGAAAATTATGTCTAATTAGAACAGGTTTAGAGGGAGGGTACGCTAAAAATGTCTAATCCTGATCTTTCATAATTTAGTATAGTAGGGCATCAATTATAGCTAATTAGAGCTTAATACAAGGGGGTGGTTTTCCAGATGGGTCTTGGTCTCTTGGCTGGGAAGCACTGTACATGTTGTTGAAGGATATTTCACCATGTAGCCCTCCTGTTCCTCCAAGCCTGTTTGTCCCTACTCTGCATTATGAGGCACCCGGTGATTGTGCAGTCCTATCTGATAAGTGACCGACTGACAGATGTTAGCGGTGTGTGCATGATTCTCACCTCACAGCATGTTTCAAAAGTATGGCGTCGTGGAGCTGGACATATGTGCGGGTTGAGGTGAGCATTCTCTCGCTCAACTCTATATGCGGTTATGGGCTGGATTGTTGGTGATGCAGATTGGGCTGGTTGCGCACTTCAGCCTGTCATGCATCATTGAGTGAGAATCCTTCAGAACAGTTACAGATGATCATGCACTGGTAGTCTGGCATTGAAACTTTCAAATAAGATGAAGCTATCAGAATTCATGGTGCCTGGCAGTATGAGCAAGCAGAGATAGAGCCCGACTGCGCTGAAAGAGTTGGAAGCAACATGTGCAACACCTTCATGGAAGTCGCAACTTGTGTGCATAGCTAGTAAAGTACCTACAGATACTTGTCTAGACATGCAGCGCACCGCCACTAGACATTAATACATGACTTTACACACACACACACATGTGCATAGCTACGAACCTGAATACATTAAAATGCTTTCTGGTGCTGTTGTCTGGTCAGTGAAATCAAGGTGCGTGGACACATGCCCTGCTCGCAAGTGTGGGTCTCTGAGGGAATTAATTGGAAAGGCAGGCAGCAGGTGTGCCATTGGCATGCCATAAACTGTGCATTATCAGTGACTCCATGTCACGTCAATGATATAAAGGTGTGGTGTATGTGCAACAGATGGTATGGTGAGTATTGCTTCTAGCTGTATGCATGTGTTCACATCTAATGCTATGCGTGTGATGCATATTCTTCCAAGGCTGATCACGCACATGTCCATGGTGGTCAAAACAAGTCTTGAGGTGGAAAGTGATGACTGCAGGACATTCGTCGAGGTAAATATCCCACAGACAGACGGCCACTTTGTTCTGTGGCATTCCCTCTTGCATCCTCATTTTTATGAGATGCCACAGCTTTCAGAACAAATGATTAATGAAAAAAACAGGACACAAGCAAGATGGTGGCCAGACCTGCCAATGCTAATCCAACATGAGCATGGGACAAGTTGTGGATCTGCTCATTGATGTCAAGGCTGCTGGAGGCACCTAAGTGAGCCTTCCTGTGATTCACCCAACTAGCCCAATTTTGTACTGGACCGTGGAGCAGGAAAGGGACATCATATCATGAGCATGCCCTTTGTGCCGAGGTCAGAAGCATGCGCTTGAAGTGAAACTGAAATTATGCATCAGTGAATGGAAAACGAAGCTGGCACCATAGACCAGTATATTGCGTGAACATGTCCCATGCCGTACCTCAAGCCTTCATTCCTTTATTATGCATGTACGCATCCTTTCACTCTCTGTTATGCACTGGAAGGATCCTCACAAAGATGACGGCAAAGTGGTATCAGATAGAGAGTAGAAAATCAACGACAAAATGCCGGGCACAAGCAATCAAATTTGTACATGCCGCATAAGAGTGGGAATCGCACGTACATTGAACCTCTTCTGCTATTCAATTAGTCCTCCAAACCCCCTCTCCGCTCCAGCAGTTATGAGAACCCTTTGACAATGGTATTATATTGTCTTCTTGTCAGCACAAAAGCTGAATAATGCGAATCAATCGATTAAGCCCTATATGAGTAGTAAAATCCTATGGCCATTGAGCATGGGCATCTTAATAGCAGAAAGGAGTGGTGTTCTCACCACAAGGTGGGCAACTCACAACATGGGATGATGTATTCGATGAAGACGAGTCTGAACCTAAGGTGTGAGTGCATAGACATGCAAGCTGTGGAGCCTAGCGTCGTTTTTGTATATACAGCAGAGACACTGGAGAGACCCACTTTCGACCATTGACCACTCCGTTGAAGAGCATACTGCAGTCACCGAGGTGGACGAGGCGAAGGACGAGTTGGACCCTAACCCAGCGGCACTCGCTACCGAGAGCCGAGCGGCAAGCGCCGATGTGACTGTTTGTTCCTGGTCTCATCCTCACCATCAAGCCACTTCCTACCACCTCACTCCTGCTTGTGCTCAGGGTACCTGCGCCCATGTTCTGTTCTTTTATGAATACCTTGAGATCTTGAATTTTTGAACAAAACCTGGCAAGGGGTGTTTTTCAGGGTGCAATGTCTTCGAGAGCGAGGGAGTTGGCTTGACTTGAAACGCGGAAGAACATTGAGGAGAGCTGGAAAGGCTGTCGAAGAAAGATTTCAAGACAGGATTTCAATCACTGGTGCGCTTGGGATACTTTCCAAACTTGCAGACCCTCACTGGTCCCTATCATTCTCTTCCTTTAGTGTGCATCCCCAATCGCTAATGCAACCCCATTCTGCCGCCGATCACAGTGCCTTTCCTCCCTTCTCCTGGACGCTGAATCCACTCCCCGCCGATGCACAGCCTGAAAGTCATATCAGCGCGGATCCTCGCCCTCCTCTGCAGCATCATCGCACCAGATCCGCCCATCGACAGACTCGGCGATTGGCAACGCCGGCATCTCGCTCGATCCGGCTCGTTCAAGCCTGGGTCAGCGCGGATCCCCTCTGCGATCCTCCGCACTCGTGTCGTTCCCCGCGAGATCCCATCTCCTGGCCCTCACCTTCGCCATCGACACTGCCTCTTGCGAGCACTCCTTTCGCAATACTCCGGTCGAGGCATGCAAGAGCAGGCGGTGGGCGGTACTAGACGCCGTGCGTCGATGCCATGCACCCTGTCGTACCTCGTAGGTTTATTTTATCTGCTTACACATCGAAAGCTCTTCCTAACCTCGCCATTACCCCCTTCTCTATCCCCCCCTTGATTCGCAGCGTGCATGCCCGCATGATCAGCGCGCACACTTGTCTTCTCAGTAGGACCGTCGCACTTTACCCGTCCTTCTGACCTCCCGTTTGTATGCGTCATCGTGAAGACTGTACGAGACCGATCTTTGGCCCGACCAACACTGTGGTCGTTCGAGCTCGTCGTGCATCTGTGGCTTCGCACGTTCGCCGTCTAGCGGCAGCCGTCAGTAATAGAGGCGTGTCAACGACAGCACTTTCTGTGCGACAGCGCTGGGCCGACGATCGCGCATACATTCGCCTCGACGTCGCCGGTCGGGTCCGTACAGAGTCTGGTACGTGCAAAATACTACACATCCCTCGGCATGTATGCTGATTTTCATTCTGTTGCTGGATGCGTCTCCTCTCTCGCCTCTGCTAGAGCAGGTGGCTGGCAGACGCATCCAACGAGCGTCGCGCAAATTTCTTTTTCTATCTGCTGAGATCCGTAGAGCGCGCGCGTTGAACCACGCCCACACCCATTCCACCCTGATAAACCGGCTTCTGGCCTACTTGCATACCCTTTTCCTTGTCACCAGCACGAATCTCTTCGCAACGGAGCGTGAGGAAGTCTAAGATGGCATGCAGAAGTGTCGACCCAGACAAGCACAACCCTACATGAGTTCTTGCACGCTGTTGTTACTCGCGACCCTTTGTCCTTACAACGCAGCAGGATCCAGGCCTCGTATAATCGAGCAGCATTCTCATTCGCAACACAAGTATACTGCATCGGGTCTTCAGCTCAGGATCTCGACGTAGGCGAACCCCACCCGTCCGCACGTACGCATGTAGTTCGTTTCTATACGATGACATCTGTATGGTACATAATCGAACGGGACGAGGCACTGTGAGACAAACAAAAAGAGTGACGCGTCAATGAAACACATGAACAGGAACAATCTTGTCCGGCAGCGATAGGACTATCGAAAGCAGAACACAGTACGGATATGGCAAGAAATGAGAGCAGGGGTCGAGAAACAGAGGAATCAACATGATGAAATACGGAATGTGCATTCTAAAGACAAACAGGGATGACCAGCGTACCCTACCACCCTCGTTTCCACCCTCACATTGAATAATCACAACCCGAAATGAACGAACGGAACCCATCGCAAAAAAGACTTGTCGCCAAGATTTTCACGCAACTTCTTCACCGCGAGGTGCAGCGCTCGAGCGGCTTGCGTAGTGTCGGGATGTGAGCCGTCTTGATGACCTTCAAAAAGGTGACTGTAAAATTCGTCGGCAATCACGGGGCCGTCAGGATCAGACATGGACCTAGTGGATTCCGAGTGAGATGGATATCATGGTCGGATGAAAGATTAAAGAATTACCACATAGTACCAACCACTCCGCGGAATCCAGAGAATAGCATCGTCCCCGCAAGATGTGTCGCTTCATCGGCAAGTTTCAGGTCTCCTTTGGCAGTCTGGCATGCACTGAGGAAAGCCAAGGAAGCGTTCGGGAGAGCCATTTCCATGATTTTAGAGATCTTCAAAGGACCGTCGTGGAGAATCAGCGCGCTCTCGAGCGGATCGGAGGGATCTTGGACACCATGGCATGCAAAGTGTGCTATGGAGATATTCAGAAGGGAGGACAGAACCTCGGATGCCGATGAAGAACACTGCTTGATGAGGCTCGACGCCGGTACGCGTGCCTCGATCTTATCCATTTCAATTTGGGCGTTATACAGCGGCGCTTGCCTTGGGGCATTGGGTTGTGTGACCGCCAGCATTCTGAATGGATTTGCACTTGTAGTGGGTGGAGAAACAAGCAAGGCGTTGAGCGTCGGTGTGTAAGATGACACCATGTATTCTGATGCGTTCTTGAGATCTCCTAGATCTGGGTCATAAATTCCAGCTGCATGGATCGGGAGGAACGCGAATGGGCCAGTTGGGCACCACCAAACTCGCGGCGGTGACTCTGATCTCTGCACAGGTTATAGGTTAGCCGTGTCTCAACAGTGCGGCGGAGGAGATTAGCTTACCTCGAGCTTCAATCCGCAGACCACTGGTTTGACGACGAATGTCCATAGTGTCACCAGCACCCTATTGATAATGTCGTCTGGACTCAAATGAGTTGTTCGACGAGGCTTTCCACCCTTATTCCAGTGACGGTCTTGTTCGGATAGAGCAATGTCACGAGCCTTCAGTGCATTTTGATGAAGTGTGTCTAGGGTACCCAGGAGATCTTGCGGAAACGGATACGATAATGCGTGCGGAGCCCTCAGTATGGAGTTGGCAAGAACGATAGCATCCGAGGGAGATCGATCATCAGTGGAAAGCGGAATGTGCTGAATGCCAGCTGACGTGACTATCAATGCATCGCATGATGATCTGGCAGTATTGAGAAGAACGACTGGTCCATGAGATGCAGCTCGCTTCAATAATGCAAATTTCTTCGGACGCATGAACTCCTCGAATCCCGAAAGAGCCCGGATGTCTTCGAGTCTCGCTAACCAATCCTCGTGCAGTCGACGGAATGCCGCAGCCTCAGCCTCCATGGTCATTACGCCTCTTGCATTGTCCTGTATAGTCATTGGAGTGGGTTGAAGTGAGCGTCGCTCCAGAGCCTGAGATGTATCTTGGAATCGTTGCGCGAGGTCAGGATGTGCCGGCCGAAGATCATCCAAGGGAGTCCTGAGCTTCAAGGCCTGCGACCAAAAAACAGCTCTCCCCTCTTCAAGGAGTTCAACAGCCTGCTCGAGATGGCCCATCCGGATAGCACACGCCGCTGCATCATTGGGGAGATGGGAATCTAGTTTTTCGGCGAGGAGTTGAGTGCGAGAACTGACACTTGAGACGAGCATGGAAACAAGAGGATATAATTGAATGGCCGCCTGATATGCTTCCAACGCAGATGCGTGGTTGAGTTCATCTGCATGGCGCGCCCACAGTTGAGCGGCCTTCAAGCGATCCAGTACAGATGCGGTTTCACATCTGACTGCGGTACGAAACAGGTTGATAGCGGCATTCAGGGAGTCATTGGAAGAAGAATCATTTGAGCTGATTTTCTTGAGGAGACTGAGGGCCAGATGGTAAAGAGTGGCACATCTACCAGGGTGTGATTCAGGAAGACATTCGAGGGCTTCTCTAAAAAGGAAGATCGCATCGTCGAGATCTACCGCCTGTCTTGTCTGGTCAAATCGCATCGAGACTGCAGACGCGAGATTGTTCAGAGAGCCTGAACGATGGGGATGCGGGGCAGGGAGGAGCATGAGAGAGTCTCTGTGAAGCGAGATGGCCTCCTCGAGGTCTACCGCTTGTCCTGTCTGCTCAAATCGCGTCAGGACCGCACTAGCGAGATTGTTCAAAGAGGTTGAACGAAGGGGATGCGGGGCAGGGTGGAGCATGAGAGAGTCTCTGTGAAGCGAGATGGCCTCCTCGAGGTCTACCGCTTGTCCTGTCTGCTCAAATCGCGTCATGACTGCATTGGCGAGATTGTTCAAAGAGGATGAACGATCGGGATGCGGGGCAGGGCGGAGCATGAGAGAGTCTCTGTAAAGCGAGATGGCCTCCCCGAGGTCTATCGCTTGTCCTGTCTGCTTAAATCGCGTCAGGACTGCATTGGCGAGATTGTTCAGAGAGCCTGAACGATGGGGATGCGGGGCAGGGTGGAGCATGAGAGAGTCTCTGTAAAGCGAGATGGCCTCCTCCAAGTCTACCGCTTGTCCTGTCTGCTCAAATCGCATCGAGACTGCAGACGCGAGATTGTTCAAAGAGGTTGAACGAAGGGGATGCGGGGCAGGGTGGAGCATGAGAGAGTCTCTGTAAAGCGAGATGGCCTCCTCCAGGTCTACCGCTTGTCCTGTCTGCTCAAATCGCATCGAGACTGCAGACGCGAGATTGTTCAAAGAGGTTGAACGAAGGGGATGCGGGGAAGGGCGGAGCATGAGAGAGTCTCTGTAAAGCAAGATGGCCTCCTCGAGGTCTACCGCTTGTCCTGTCTGCTCAAATCGCGTCTTGAGTGCACCAGCGAGATTGTTCAGAGAGCCTGAACGATGGGGATGCGGGGCAGGGTGGAGCATGAGAGACTGCCTGTGAAGCGAGATGGCCTCCTCGAGGTCTACCGCTTGTCCTGTCTGCTTAAATCGCGTCAGGACTGCATTGGCGAGATTGTTCAAAGAGGTTGAACGATCGGGATGCGGGGCAGGGCGGAGAATAAGAGACTGTCTGTGAAGCGAGATGGCCTCCTCGAGGTCTACCGCTTGTCCTGTCTGCTCAAATCGCGTCCAGACTGCATTGGCGAGATTGTTCAAAGAGGCTGAACGATGGGGATGCGGGGCAGGGCGGAGCATGAGAGAGTCTCTGTAAAGCGAGATGGCCTCCCCGAGGTCTATCGCTTGTCCTGTCTGCTTAAATCGCGTCAGGACTGCATTGGCGAGATTGTTCAGAGAGCCTGAACGATGGGGATGCGGGGCAGGGTGGAGCATGAGAGAGTCTCTGTAAAGCGAGATGGCCTCCTCCAGGTCTACCGCTTGTCCTGTCTGCTCAAATCGCGTCTTGAGTGCACCAGCGAGATTGTTCAGAGAGCCTGAACGATGGGGATGCGGGGCAGGGTGGAGCATGAGAGACTGTCTGTGAAGCGAGATGGCCTCCTCGAGGTCTACCGCTTGTCCTGTCTGCTTAAATCGCGTCAGGACTGCACCAGCGAGATTGTTCAAAGAGGTTGAACGATGGGGATGCGGGGCAGGGCGGAGCATGAGAGAGTCTCTGTAAAGCGAGATGGCCTCCTCCAGGTCTACCGCTTGTCCTGTCTGCTCAAATCGCGTCAGGACTGCACCAGCGAGATTGTTCAAAGAGGTTGAACGATCGGGATGCGGGGCAGGGCGGAGAATAAGAGACTGTCTGTGAAGCGAGATGGCCTCCTCGAGGTCTACCGCTTGTCCTGTCTGCTCAAATCGCGTCAGGACTGCATTGGCGAGATTGTTCAAATAGGATGGACGATCGGGATGCGGGGCAGGGCGGAGCATGAGAGAGTCTCTGTGAAGCGAGATGGCCTCCTCGAGGTCTACCGCTTGTCCTGTCTGCTCAAATCGCGTCCAGACTGCATTGGCGAGATTGTTCAAAGAGGTTGAACGATCGGGATGCGGGGCAGGGCGGAGCATGAGAGACTCTCTGTAAAGCGAGATGGCCTCCCCGAGGTCTACCGCTTGTCCTGTCTGCTCAAATCGCGTCCAGACTGCATTGGCGAGATTGTTCAAAGAGGTTGAACGATCGGGATGCGGGGAAGGGCGGAGCATGAGAGAGTCTCTGTGAAGCGAGATGGCCTCCTCGAGGTCTATCGCTTGTCCTGTCTGCTTAAATCGCGTCAGGACTGCATTGGCGAGATTGTTCAGAGAGCCTGAACGATGGGGATGCGGGGCAGGGTGGAGCATGAGAGACTGTCTGTGAAGCGAGATGGCCTCCTCGAGGTCTACCGCTTGTCCTGTCCGCTCAAATCGCGTCAGGACTGCAGACGCGAGATTGTTCAAAGAGGTCGAACGAAGGGCATGCGGGAAGGGGAGAAGCGTGAGGCCCTTTCGATACATTGAAATCGCCTGCTCGAGGTCTCCAGCTCTCTGAGACGTGTCCACGAATCGTTCCAAGAGACCACTGGCGACCGCTCCCAAAATAGCCGAAACATGTTCGTCAGTGGTCGAGACGAGTGGCATCATCTCTTCCAGCAATGCGACAGCACGATCCAGATCCATGCTCTGACTAGTCTGCCGGAACCTGAGGATAAACATGCTAGCCAAAAATTTGAGAATTTCGCAACGCGCAGGATGCTGTTCCGCTATCATGCAAACGGCCTCCTCAAAAATCAGGGCAGCACAGTCGAGGTCTGTGATGTCCCCAGACGACACGTATTGCTGGTAGAGCTCCGTAGCCTGCTGCGCCAAATACAATGCTTCCATATCCTGATTATGTCGAGATTCCTGAAAACGCAGACGCACTGCCTCAGCGATGAGGTTGGGCTGCCCAGTCACAAGAAACATTGTCACCAGACACGCACAGAGCCTGGAACGCAGCTGTGGTCTATTAGGATACGCAGCAGGCGGGAGTCGGATGCAGTCCCGTAATATGGACACCGCTTCATCCAGATCCTCGGATTGTTGGCTGTGAAACCATCGCAAGACGCGAGCGTCTGCAAGTCCATACATGGCAGCTACTTGTTTGCCACCTGTATGTCCACACCTACTGGCGACCTGGCGGTAGAGAAGGATTGCAGTGTCGAGGCTCGAGATCGGTTCAGACTGACAAAAGGTTGTCAATGAGTCAAGAGCGAACTCTGTCATTGAGGAGGCTTCGTCCTCGTTTGGAAGGGCATCGTAGCTCTCCTTGTCAAATTCGTCCTGCAGTGAAATGAGTTAAAATTTTGGAGAACGATGGTATACATTGACATACTCGTAGTCTCTTTTCTTCCGAGACCTCGATTTCGGGTTGCGCTCGAGCCGATTGTTGTGGAAGCGTGCCTTCGCTCAGCTTGGAGTGCATCAGGAGCATGGCCTCGTTCAAAGACGAGTTGTCTCCTGTCCAATGGAACTTAACGAGCAAAGCTAGAGCAAGATTGTCCGAAGAGTTCGAGTGAAGGGGGTGATCCGCAGGACGGAGGCCAAGAGATTCCCGGAGAAGATACAGAGGTGTCTCCAGCGATGACAACTGGCTCTCTTCCTTGAACTCCCTGACAATGGATGCTGCAAGCTCTTCCATCTCGTCGGAATCCAATCCTTCATCACCAAACAGATCGTCGTCTCCGATCTCAACAAATCGTTCCTCGCGCTCCTGCGAGAGAGCTGTCAGAAATAGACAAAGAGACGTCCCATACATGATATCGGCACGTACAGGGGGCTCTGCCATGATCTGTTGTCATCAAAGTCAGCATCCGTCATCGAGAGTAACCGAGCAGACCTACAATATCTCTGTTTCCAGACTGATCAGATGGAGGGGTCGGGCCGTCGATATTCATTGGATCAACCTGCGGGTCCTCGCTCATAATGATTATTGAAGAAGGTGGAATGCAGTTGAGTGAAGGTGTAAAGAGTGCTAGCGTGGAGAAGTATCCTGGCGGTCTTATATGAAGACAAGAGAACTCACTGAAAACATGAGGTGCGCACAGCTTATGCCCAAGCCTGTACGATCTCGTTCGAGCCATTTCTATGACATCTGATGGGCAACCAAATACGGGTGCAGCATGTCTTTGACAGCGTCTCTTTCATGAACGTCAGCGCAGAAAGAGATATGATGCACATCATGAACTGGTCATGCCAGTATTCGGTAGATTTCTTTCCATGTCCACAGTTGCATACGCACCAAAGTGAGGTGCAGTGTCCTCAGAAAACAAATACGACATTTCCCTCGATGCCTTTGCACAGCGGTCGAAAGAAGTTCATGCCATGGATATATGACCCTTTTGGTGGGTAGCGCTTTCTCGATCGTTTCCGAGTGCTCTCTTGGGTCCCAATACCTAATTGTATTATGATTCCAATCAAAGAATCTCCAAATGAACCTGAGCATCGACTGGTACATCGCATTGTAATCACTGATAAAACTGTATACCGAACTCGTGAGCTTCTGACTTTCCAATCGGAACTCTAGAAGAATGATATCCGCCTTGAAGTGATAACATGGACCACAGCTAGGTCACAGCAGAGACGGTAGAGCATCTAGAGAATGGGTCTGGGCACAGGTGAGGCTGAAGGTGATGTTCGTATCGGAGTCGATAACGAGCGCTAGATATCTTGCGGTGTAAGTGGAGGCAAGGCAACGCGGCTTCCGCACTACGAAACAATATGGAGCAGGAGGGAGTCAGGTCCAGGGGAAGTGGTGGCCGTCTCGTTGTTGGAGCTGAACGGACATCTGTACATTTTCCATCGTTATCAGCTAAAGGAGACGGAGGAGATCAGTAGCATACATGTGTAATAGTCATATTCACCACACCCGCTTTAGACTGCAGTGCACGCTGCGTGTTTTCAACGTGGAGCAATCGGTATGGACTCGCATATACCCATAAGCCCGTGCATTCCACGGGGCCTGTGCGTGTTGATTCGATCGGTCAGAAAGAAGAACATTTGGGACCCGAATATTGATTAAGCGCTGACCTTTGGCCCCAAACCATCTGTATCAGCGCACTAGCGCTCAGATCTTCCAAGATGCATTCTAGGCATCACAGACCTCACATCCATTGGTGGAGGAGAGAACAGCATTGATCGTTGTATTGCACTGGAGGAAACTCGAGCGGAGACACTCCTGACCAAGCGGGTACGCGTAGCGGCGCTCGAGGGTGGGACAGGCGTCAAGAGCCGAGAAGACGTCAAAGCAGAGATAGAATTTACTCGCAAGTAAGAGTAGTGTGAAGTTTCAAAAACACGGTACCGAGGCTAAGGGCCCGAAATGAAGAGCTCTCCGGCCATCAGCACGGGAGCGAGTCGGCGAGTCTGCACAGGATCAGCAATTCAATATTAGATCACTCCAGTCGCACCCATTCTAACGGATAGACGTATCGGACCAGATGTGAGTGGTGGGTAGTTGTCATGTACCTGGTTCACAGCATCAAGTCTGTCATGAACGGCAAGGACTGTGGGCAAAGGGCTACATCCGCTCCAGACTGAGTCTGATGGGATCGAAATGGAAAGACAGCTATGCACTTTGTATGGCGATAAAACTCTGAGGCGGCGGTGTGTTGTGCACTGGTCGATGGAGCCGTGCGCGTTTGTGGCGTCCAGCGTCTCCTGCTGGTCCCTCGTCGACTTTTCCTTGAGTTCTGACATCCTCCAATCCTGTGCACGATACAGCCTCTTTTCTTTTTTCTTCATGCTTGAGGCATTAGGCGGCGCTCGCATCCCTGCGCCGAATGGGGTGAGTAGTTGTCGGTGGAAGCATTGGCGATGTTGGTCCGACTGCATCCGCTGAGACGGGCAGTACACGTACGGCTGTGGACGGCGGCTGATAGAGGCACGATAGAGCGCGAGTTGGGTTTTCAAGAAGAAGGGAAGAGTGAAAGGTGGGAAATGGTGTCATGCAAGTCACGAACGGATATTGAAGATGAAGGAATTGTATTGAATCGAAGGCTAGTTAAACACTGTGACTCGTACAATTCATCTTGAGCCGAGATAGATCCGGAGTAGGCGACACTCGTCAAAGCCGCTTCCAAGAAAGGCGGCGCATGCAGGTTGAGATAATCAAATATCATCTAGAAAGGCCTTAGACATGGATTTAGTCGGGTAGCAAAGGCGGGCAGTTGGACCCTAACCCTGCCGCCAAGCGCGCCCACCTGGGACAGGCCATGGAGCCAATTCATCACAGGCAAGCCTCATTCAAGAAGGCCGCACATGAGGCGCTTTGACGGCCAACAACAAGCAGGAGAAGAGGAAGGGCTCTGGAATCGGGTGTCTATAAGTACGCTTTGCTGTTTATCTTCACAGGTCGCCTCACACTGTTTTCCCTACATTTCTCACTTCCGCGGCTCTCTTTTCCCCATTCCGCGTTTCTCATCACCCTCACGTCTGTTTCCTTTCTCCAATCGTTTTTATCAGATTCTGGACGTCTGTCGTCCACGTCCACGTCATCTTCTCAAACGGATCACTCCCTGAGGTGATTTCGGCACGCGAATCTGTTGCATCCCCTCACGATTCAGTGGTCGCTATTGTAGGACGTTGAATGGGGACTCAAGGAGAGCTTCGGGAAGATTGGCGGAGGAGACAGCGAGAACAGCTGGTACGCTTCTCCTATTGACTCGCCTGCGCTTTCCTGACTTGATGTGCCAGTTCTTCTTGACATCATCGACCTCGCACGATCCGCTACCGGTCCCAACATTCAAGTCACCGATATCCATCCACGAACCAGATCGATGCCGTTCATCGCCCGACGATCGCAATCTCTCTGCGTTCTCTGAACCTAACATCTCCACATCTCCTCCGGTCTCGCAATGCACTCCCGGATCATGAACGTCATTCTGTGCGTGCGCAGGCGTCAGACGCTGCGTTTCGATTCTATTGGATATCAAGCGTTCTTCTCATCGTACCACCCCCGTCAGTTCCCCGTCGATCGGACGATACATCGAGATCAGACCATCGCCTTCTTGCACGACACACTCCGTCCCCTTTCATATGACCCCTGGTGACGCTGTACGGCGCAGAAGCCCACATTGTAGGCGATATACATTCTGATCGGCTATGTGATATCGCAAGCCAAGTATCCGCGCGGCAGTAGTCAGGTGAGTTGTCGTCCTACGACCGAATCGTCGATACTATGCCTCAGGCGCCTTTTATCGTGACGCTGTCCTTCATGTCCACTACCTCTCCTGACGGATCTCTTTTTGATGGATCAGAGGATAGACCAAGGCTGCGCGCTCGTGCTTGGGTTCGCGCTGGCCGACGACCGCAACAGCGAGGTCGCTGCCTACTTTCTCGATGAGCCTTCTCGCTCACCTAACCCGCATTGCAATCCTCTCCTGCACTTGGCTCCACTGAACGTCGAGATGAAGTGACGAGAGCGGATGGGCTCGACGTCGACGCTGCCTCTGGCTATATGTGCGCGGTAATCTCCATCCATTGTGCGCGCGAGGCCTACTTTCCTAGCGCCGATTGTGCACATTTCCATACTCCAAACAAAGGAGCAAAGATGACTGTAGTACATACAGTGAGGTGAGTACAGTACGACTCCCGTTACATTTTTTATAGGACCCCTGTGTCGACGCATCTCCGCAGCGAAGCGGTCGCAAAGGGGTCTATAATCTCAACGTTAGCAGCGCAGCTCTCGTTCCTCACAGCCGATGGAAGCAGGATCCGACTGACCGGTCCTGTCGATACAGATCCGAGTTGTGCATGGTGCGAAGGTGGGTCCTTGTCGCATCTGAGAGTGGTCGTCGATGACGAGGCCTCCGGGGATACGAATGCCGTGAGAAAGAGACGCAGATGAATAGTCTTCTGAGTCCGCCCTCGCGATCCTCACGTGCCCCTCCGCGGCACCTTCGATCCAGCATCTCATCTTGCGAGAGCAGACGCATTAGGCCCAGCCGATGCACGGTGACTTTGTCTGCCCACGCGTTCAAGATGAGACCATTGTTTTTATTCAATCCACCCCGTCCCTCCTCTCGTTCTCTTTCGGCGCATATATGCACCATCCCGCGCGGCGCAAGTGACGCCGCCGGATCGCGCGCAACAGACAGCGGCTAGCGTCGTCCGGATGCAGCTGGGCCCGATCTGCGCCCGCCTGTCTCATCCCCGCGCCCTCCGCCGGTGCTCTGTCTAGCCGTCGTCCGTGCGGATCCCGCTCGCGACACGACGATCGGCGCTTCGGGCTGCGCTTCCGGGGCGGATCCTCGTCGAGAGTGCGTTCGCTGGTTCGAGCTGGGAGACGGCTATATAGCCCAAATCACAACCCCCTCCCCTCCCTCGCGTCTGTCTATTGCCCCGCGTCGCGCCTCGACAAGTCTGGCTCCATCGCATGTCCCGCTCGTCTGCTGTCTCCGTTGCATGATACGCAGTCTCCGAGCGTGCCGTTCGTGCGGCCTTTGTCTTTGAGCGAGGTGAGACGATGGATACGTGACCCTTTCTGTGTCCTGCCTCCCTATCTGGTTTGAGGTCGTGATTGCCCGTTCTGCCACAAAACATACTTTGGATCGCACCACCCAGTCTCTCTCTTCCGGGGCGAGGAGTTTGTGCGCGCGACGTGGACCTTCGTCTGTCTCGTTTGCGCAGCGTTCCTCCACTTCCCTTGCGATATCTTCTCGTCTCCTCGTTTCCCCCTTACGACCGCGTGATCTCCATTCAGCGTTCTCGCTCCCCACTCCCTTGCACAGTTGTCCTGCTTTACCACAGACGCGACCGCTCTGCCTCGCTCACGACCTAGTCACCACTCCTGGCCTCGAGCTATATCGTGAGGCGCCCGATGATTGCATAGTACCGTCTTCCGACGCCTGATCCTCCCTCTCCCTTCGTCGAGACATGTTCAACTCCAAGTCTGAGAAGTAGATAGGAGAAGTATAAAGGCTCGACCGAGGGCGGTGAGGAATCACACGATGAATGGTTACACCTGCCTGTGGATTTGATGGCAGCTTATGGCGGCCTGCATCAGTTTTGTACAATATGTATAGTGTCAAACATCAATCAGACCCTCAAGCTTGACTTCTAGGGCTGTTCGGCTACTGGATCCGAAGGAGAATGTGACCAGACCTGCCGACACAGACCCGACGTGCCCCAACTCGATGTGCCAGCTCTTCTTCGGCAGCATCAGCCTCGCATGATCCATGATCGGCCAGATCCATACACGAACTACGCTGACGCCTATCAGTGACCGACCTTTCCATGTCCGTCACAACGACCATCGTTCTGGACTCAGCCTCTCCACATGTTGTCCAGTCCCCCAGCATGAACGTTACTCTGTGGGCATAGGCGATGCGTTTCAAATCGATCGGACATCACGCGTCCTACACTACTCCGCGTACGTTGCTCATCAAACCACTTTCTCCAGCTTCACTTCGTCCAGATACTGTCCAGATGATCAGACACCATTCGCTCAGGCTAAAACTCATCTCCTTCCCGCACGACACGTGCGTCCATCTCAGACATAACTCCCGATGACGCTGCAAGAGTGCACATACATCTCAGGTGATATACACTCCAAAAATCTGTGTGACTATGTGGTATCGTAAGCTAGGTATGCACGCGATAGTTGTAAGCTGAGTCGTTCACCTATGGCCGAATCTTCGATACCATTTCTCCAGCGTCTCCCGTTGTAGGGCTGTCCTGTTCACGCACCAGCTTTCCTCGCTGATTCCTTGCGCCCCGCCCATTCTACATGCAGCGGAGGTTAAACCAAGGGCGCGCGCCTGTGACTAAGCTTAAGCTGACACTTATACTAGCAGACTCTCCGTCGACTGTCTCGACGAGTCTTCCCACTCTTCTAGGTTGCAGTGCAATCCCGCTTCGCACTCGATTCTGTTTCAATATCCGACCTCAACACCGAGGCTGGCTATATGTTCACGTTGTCATGCAGTGTGCGAATGAGGTGCGCTACTCTGGGCCAATCGCACATATGCCCAAGCATATACACACGGTCAAATCCGGAGATGAGCTCGTCTACAATACGCGCGCCGCGCGTAGTATCGTACGGTGCTCGTTGCACGGTGCAGAAGACGCTGATGCGTACGGTTCCTGCTTCACCTTTCGTCCGTACACGACTCTCGTCGAGTCAGCATCGACAGGTTTGACCTATGTCTTGGTCGGACCTTGTTGTTCAGCCGCTGTTTCGATTGGGTGCGTCGGACGAAGTCGAGTCCTTGTCACTTTTGAAACTACCTGTCGATTTTGAACCTAGCGGTGATGCAAGTGTTTGAACTGTTCAATCACGAGAAATACACGCAGGTAAGCTTTCCTCTGGATTTCTTGACTGGTCCCATTTCGAACTGGACTGTGATGCAGGAAAGTGCCAACTTAGTCCAGGGCACGCCTTTTGTGCGCCCTGAGTGGTGGATATGCAGAATTCGAGCATTGTGGTATGCATCGAAAAAGACAGAGGAAATCGCACTCTGTCACCCTCAGCAGTACCCCTCACGTTCATCATTTACAGCCCGTAATGAACAAACGGCACCCATCGTAAGAAAGATTTACCACCTAAACATGCACGCAGCTTTGTCACCGCGAGGTGGAGCGCTCGGGCGGCTTGCGTAGTGTCGGGGTGGGAGCCGTCTTTGGGACCCTGAAAGAGATGACCGTAGAATTCATCCGCGACCATAGGGCCATCAACATCATGGATTGACCTGCCGTTTCGGGTGGGATCAATATGAAGGTCAAGGATAATCGAAATCTGAAGGATGCCTTACCACATAGTGCCAACTACTCCGCGAAATCCAGAGAACAGCATGGTCCCCACAAAGGTGAGTAGCTTCGTCGGGAAGAGCCACATCTCCCATTGCGATCTAACATGCACTGAGAAAAGCCAAGGAAGCATTCGGGAGGGGCATCGCCATGATTTTCGAGATCTCCAAGGGTCCGCCTCGGAGGATCAGTGCGCTCGCCAGTAGATTAGAGAGATTCCGAACGCCATGGCATGCAAAGTGGGCGATAGAGATGTGCGGAAGACAGGATAGAACATCTGACGCCGACGAAGAGCATTGCTCGATGAGGCGTGAACTCGGTGCATGCGCCTCGATCCTCTGCATCTCGTCCCGAGTGCTAGGAAGACAGCTGTATCCTGGGGTTTCGGGCTGTATGGCCACCAGCATCTTGAACGCGTCCGTGCTTGGCGCGGGCGGCGGAACAAGCAACGTGTTCAGTGTGGGCGTGTAGGATGAGATCATGTAGTCTGATACATTTTCGAGGTCTCCCATGTCTGGCGAATATATCCCAGCTGCATGGATCGGGAGGAATGTGAAATAGCCTGTTGGGCACCACCAGACTCTTGGCGGCAACTCTGATTTCTGCGTTAACAAGAAGTTAGAAGTATGCGAGAGGGCCGTCGGAAGAGATACTCACAACATTGAGTTTCAAGGCAAAGATAACTGGTCTGGCTACGAGGTTCCACAACATTGTTCAGACACGGCTGAAAACATCGTCCGGTTTGAGGGGCGCCGTTGGACGAATTCTTTTTCGTTCGAGGTGGCGGTCTTGCTCCGGAAAAGTCGCATCTCGAGTTTTCAGTGCACTCTGGAGAAGCCCGTCGAATGATCCTTGTAGATCGTTCGATAAGGGAGCCGATTATGCATATGTAGCTGAGAGGATGAGGTTGTGGATAACGACCGCATCTTTATGAGAAAAGTCAGTGGAAAGCGGGACATGCTGGACGCCGGCTGGTGTGACTATCAAAGCATCACATGATGATCCGGCAGCATTGAGAAGAACAATTGGTCTGCCTGAGATAGCTTGCTTCAGTAACGTGAACTTCTTTGGACGCAGGAATTCTCCAAACCCGTCTAGGCCCCGAATCAGTTCCAGCGTCTCTAACCAATTCTCGTGGAGCCGGCGAAAGGATCCAGCCTCAGCTTCTATCGTCATCACACCTCGAGCATCGTCTTGGATCGTCTCGGGATGGTCGTGTAATGAGCTCCGCTCAAGAGCCTGAGACATATCTTGAAGCTTTTTTGCAAGGTCGGGATGCACTTGACGAAGGTCATCAAAGGGAGTCCTAAGCTTGAAGGCCTGGGACCAAAAGACAGCTTTCCCCTCTTCCAGTAGTTCAATAGCCTGCCCAAATGCGCCTATTCGGATAGCACACGCTGTCGTATCATTCGGTGGATGCGAATCCAATTTTGTAGCTAAAAGCTGGGGGCGAGACTTGATCCTTGAGACCAGCATTGACACCAGCGGAAGAAATCGGATGGCAGCTTGATATGCTTCCAATGCTGATGCATGTTTCAGTTCGTCTGCATGTTGTGCCCAGGACCGAGCAGCGTATGAGCGATCCAGTATAGATGCGTTCTCACATCTGACTGCAGCGCGAAACAGTCCTAAAGCATTTTCTGATACATCATTGGATGCCAGGTGGTGTAGTATACGACATCGATCGGGATGTGCTTCAGGAAGAGATTTGAGGGCTTCCCGTTGAAGCATGATTGCTTCATCAAGGTCTTTTACCTGCCCCGTGTACTTGAAATGCACCTTGATTGTATATGCGAGGTGGCTCAACAATTGAGGACGGTGGGGATGTGAGGAAGGGAATCGCATCAGACAGCTTCGGTGAAGCGAAATTACCTCCTCGAGGTCTCTTGAATTTCCTGTCTGCTAAAATCGTGTGCTGAGTGCGCTCGCGAGGTTGCTCAAGGAGCCCAAGTGATGGGGATTCGGAGAAGGGATGAGCATGATACATTGTCGATAAAGCAAAATTGATTCTTCAAGGTCTTCTGCATGTCCTTTCCGATGAAATCGCTTGTTGACAGCATTTGCGAGTATCAAAGATGAGGGACGATGAGGATATTGGGGAATGCTGAGCATGAGAGATGTTCGATGAAGAGAAATCGCATCCTCGAGATCTTCTGCCTGCCCTATCTGGTCGAATCGCGTCAATAGTGCGCATGCAAGATTGTTCATATATGCCAGACGATATGGATGTGGTGCAGGGCAGAGCGCGAGCGAGTCCCGGTGAAGCGATATTGCCTGCTCGAGGTCCTCAACCTGTCCTGTCTTCTCGAATCTTTTCCGGACTGCATTTCCAAGGTTGTTCAGGGATGCTGAACGATCGGGATGTGGGGCTGGGCAGAGTGAAAGGGACTTGTGTAGAAGCGAGATTGCCTCATCGAGATCTCCTGCTTGTCATGTCTGCTGAAATCGAGTGAAGAGTGCAAACGCCAGGTTACTCAATAAAGCCGAGCGATTTGGATGCGGGACAAGGCAGATCATGAGTGACTTTCCGTACATTGAAATAGCTTTCTCGCGGTCTTCAGCCTGTGTTGTGTACTCAAATTGCTTCGATAGTAATTCGCCAACTTTCCCTAAGAGAGTAGAAACGCCTTCGTCGGTAGAAGCAGAACTACTTCCTCAAGCAGCAATCTAGCGCGATCCAGATCATGCCTCCTTCCGGTCTTCAGAAACCGCACGAGAATTGTGGAAGCCAAGTCTATGAGTGCATGACAGCGCAAAGGGTGCTCCTCGCACATCATGCCGACAGCTTCCTGGAAAAAGAAGATGGAAGAGTTAACTTCGGTTATATCCTCCGACGTGAAGCTCCGCGCGATATCCGCCCCATGCTCTGCCAAGTTCAGCGCCTTCGCGTCCCTCATATCTGAGTTTTGGTGTTGTAGACGAAGAAGCGTTGCCTCGGTGAAGGCCTCGGTTCTCCCCGTCAAGAAGAATCTCATGATCAGACATGCACAGAGTCTGCCTCGCAGGCGAGGACCAGGATGAGGAGCAAGTGGAAGTCATAGACAGTCGCGAAAGATGGAAATTGACTCGTCTAAATCTTCATATTGTCGGCTGTGAAACCACCGTGAGACGCAAGCATCGGCAAGCGCATACATAGCAGCAAATCGCTTTGGATTTTGATGTCCCCGCTGATTGACAACCTGGCGGTAGAGATATATTGCAGCTTCAATGCTTGAGATTGATCCGGAGTTGCAAAACTCTGTCACTACACCAAGGACGAACTTGATCATCGATAATGCTTCGTGCTCGTGCTCAAGAACTATGTCCCGTTCGCCCTATAGTCGGATGAGTTTATCGTGGAGAGACCGACGGCATATATTGACATACTCTCTGTTCCCTTTCTGTCACGACCTCGATTTCAGGCTGTGCTCGAATCGAGTTTTGTGGAAGCGTGACTCCCGTCAGCTTGGAGGGAATCAAAAGTATAGCCTCGTCTAGGTCTCGAATCTCTCCCGTCCAATTGAATCTGACGAGCCGCGCCGGAGCGGGATTGTCTAAAGGATTCGGTTGGATAGAATGATCTCCAAGGCAGAGGGCGAGATATTTCCGGAGAAAGTACAGAGCAGTCTCTAGCGATGAGAGATGACTTGCTCCCTTGTATTCCCTTACAATGGATGCCACAAGCTCTTCTGTCTCGTCTGGAACAGTTCTTTGGTCGCCAGACAGGTCTCAGTCCACGATCTCGCGGTGTCGCTCACCGTGGTCCTGCGAGAAGTCTGTGAGAATGAAAGGAGATATGGAGCTCCTCATGACACACGATAGGTTCTGTCATTGTCTGTCGACGAACAGAGTCAGTACCAAGCATCAGAGACCAATAAATGATCCCACAGTCTCTCTGGTCCCCAACTGGTCAGATGGATGGGACAAGTCACCAAGATCGCTGACTATGACAGCCCTTGTACCTCGGTCCATGATTTGTACGGAAGAGGATGAAAGCCGCGATTGCAGTTGAGTAGAAGTGAAGGATTGGTCTAGAAAGACGTTTGTCAGACAAGTTATATATGGGACAATGAGAGAAACGTAGCTGAAGATATGTGGTAATGCACAGCCAATCTCAAAGTTGTACGACTAACTCCGAGGTCCGAAATTCGGTTGTGAACTATATCAAGAACCTGTAACATAGACTCGTAACTACACTCGCTTTGCGTGAGCTCTGCCCTGTATCTGGTCGCCTTACATAACGAGGTTGTGTTCCCGGAGGCTAAAGAAATACTTTCTCTCGATTTTTGTTGCGCAGCTGAGGAACATTACTGGATAACATGTTGATCATCCAGCAGGTATCGTCTGCTTCATTGTTCCCCTTGAGTCCACAGAGGATATCCATGACGCTGATAAATGCACCTGTGAAAAAGCCAGTACATCCGCCTCTATAGCACTTAAGCTGCAATGACAGGAATTGCATCTCGCTGTCGCTACAATACAAATGGTGGCGTGCACAGCATATTACAGACCCAAATGAGTCGCAAGGTAAGCATAGGTTTCATGAAGAAGTCGGACACAGGAAGGGCTGGGATGCGGTGCATGTCGATATGTGTGTCAGTGGGTGCAAGATATTCTTGTGATGTATCTGGCGGCTGAGCGATGTCAATTCTACAATATGACAATATGAAGAGGTCTAAGACGAGTCCTAGCCATCGTAGGACATCCGTGTGAGGAGCGAGGAGTTCCCGATATCTGTCGACGTCTATACGCCCTCCATTGCCAAAACAACAATGAGAGCAATAACATCGAGGATGGTGCACAATTTCATATGGCCGTCTAGATCCACTGTTGACAGCGCGGAGCAATCGATATTTGGCGATCAGCACATGTATCCCACAGAACCAGCCCTTGCCAATGGAGAAGCAGGATTGGGACCTCCAGAGTGACCGAGCGCTGGCCATTGTCCATACACGTCAATTCCCCAATTTCCCAATCTCGTGCGCTCAACTCCTCCATCGGCGCACCAGCTCCCAGAAGTTCCAGGTGTCAAGAGCCGATGCGAGGATACACTGACGCCCGGCGGGACAGTGCGACGATCGCGAGCAGTACGAGAGTCCCAGAAAGCAGGACATTAGCCAGAGTTGAACGGAAGGTTCTCCACTAGCAGCGCAGACGCAATACAGAGCAATACAGAGAGTCGCCCAACAGTCAGCAATGATCCACAATTCGATCCATTCTTGGAGACTCGGGTGCCGGTTGCGAAAACCAACCCAGAGGTGGCCTGTAGATTATAACAGTACAGCTGCCGTGAATGTGATGTATGTACAGCATCAAGGCTGACGCGTAAACGGCGGTAACTGATAGAAAGTAGATAGATCAAGTGTCAGACACGCCACTTGGGCACAAAGGAATTAGAAGGGAAGGAGAGATACGCACCGTTTGCGGTGGGGAGAGACATTGATGCCGTTGTGTGTTGAGTGTTGGTTCAAGTCCGTGCGCATTCGCGGTACCCTGTATCACCTTCTGATTCGTCGTTGACTTGTCTACAATCTGCCCAATCTTCCAATACGATGCATAGCGCTCTTTTCCTACCGGCCTCTCTTCAATACTATTCTTGTTAACGTTCTCGCAGGCCACGCCATCCGTGATGGCACGACCGAAGTATATGCGGTATCGGAAGCTCATAGGATAAGGAACGTGTGCAGCGTTACACAATGTTCGTGCCTTCGCACCATTTGAGGGGATTCAAGTTTAGCGGCAGAGCTCTCTGAGGAGGTTCTTATGAGCAACGACGATAGATGATCATGCGTGGGCCTCTGCCAGAGACGCGATAGGGATGAATTTTGACGTTCAATGAAGAGAGAAATAAGTAGGATATATCAATGTGATGCGAGGATCCCAAGGGCATCGTATACGTGACGATGAGCTGTCCAAGATAAATAATCAGATTGAATCAATGGGCTGGCCAATCACAGAAGGTAGAGCAAGCTCACCTTGGACTTTGACGGCCGCACACCATATATGAGATCCATAAGATGAGTGGTCGAGGAGCTGGATGGAAGACATGGAACGAGGAGAAAATCTTTCAGAATCACGACAGAATTCCTGCGTTTCCTAAAGCTGTCAGACGTTGTTCACATTGAGCCGTGGAGGCCGATTTTAGGTAGGTTGAGTATATCGCACAGGTTTGTTTTCAACAGATCAGTCCTGAAACAAAGGGACGCGTTCGAAGAGGCTATACATTGGTCTATTCACCGTCATACTTGCATACGCACCTACAACATTTCTTGAGGCTGGCTGGTGGAAGTCGAGCATTGAGTCACCAATACATTATTCAAGGATCGGATAGTACATATTGATGCGATACAGCAGCCTCGTCACCAGGCGCAGTGCAGACCTGGGCCGTCGAGGCGGTAAGTAGGTCGATCGAAGGAGAGGATAATTGGACCCTAACCCTACCTGACTTGACATCTGAACCTCGGCCAGCTCCGCCCCGTCACCCTCATCACACCATTGCCTTCACTCCTCCAACAAATAGACAACATACATCGACGCCAGAGCGTCCCGCCTTTTCCCTTGGCACAACTTGCTCATTGCACATACGGCCCCCGGTGATGTAAAGCATCATGAGCGGTACATATTCCAATCTACTCGGCTGTCTAAGATCACAAGCTAGATACAAACCTATACAAACACGATATCCGCGAGGTGAGTCTTCGTTCAATCGTACATTCCTGGGGCCGGATCATCCATATCATGCATCAACTAACCTCTATCTCAGCGATGTCGCTCACGTCTACCAACTCCCCTCGCGAATCTCTTCCACACCCCGCCCGTTCTCGATGCAAAGAAGGATACATCAAGGGTGCGCGCCTGTACTTGGGTTCAAGCCGGCTGACAAACATCCCAGCGAGCTCGCTACCGAGTCCTGACTTTCTGGACGCGTCCTCCCATTCATTCGGCTGGCAGTGCGATTTCTCCCTGCACCCGATTTTGTCTCGGTCACATTGAACGATGGGGTGAATTGATGAGGCAGATGGGCTCGACGTCTGCACTGCCTTTGGTTGTACGAGTGCCTGCTGTGCGAACACAGTACGTTCGTTCATCTCCTATCACGCATATGCTATGATCAAGAATCAGTGTTGAGGTGAACAGAGCATGCGACAAGGCGAGTATCGTACGTATTTCGGAGAATGGTGCGGAAGGCGGATTGCATCGCACAGGATCTCTTTTGCAGGCTCTTGCGTCGCTTATCCAGAGCAAAGTGGTCGGGGGATCCAAAATTCAGTGCCGAAGACCCACCCCTCAGTCCAAACAGATGCTAACAAAAAGATTCGACCAATTGGCCAGACCAGCCGGCGCGGAGGCGAAAGTAGGCTCTAGTCGTACTTGAAACCGCTTGTCGATGTTCGGTCATCGGTGATGCGACTGCTCAAGTCGTTTTATAACAGAAAGAAACGCCGCGGGCCAGTGTCCCGCTGCATTCCCCGACTGGTCCAATTTGAACTGGAAATAGGAAATTCTCAATACCTCATGGGGCATACTATGTTGCGTGACTTGTGGTGGAGATGAACTCGCGTTTATTATCCTCGTCCGCGGGGCAGGAAGCGTATGCTCAAAATGTAACTGACGCAATCTGGCGCCATATACTACGTCGCGAGAACATGTCTCATGTCGCACTCTTGAGCCCTTTAGCTTCAGAGATTTCGTTCTGTCATCGTCATCCCCACCATCGATCGTCTTTGTACCCGTTCCTACTCGGGGTTATGATGTCTGGAACTATGTGTTGTGAATTCTAGATCTCGTCTGATCTTCCGTCATTCCCAAGCCTTGTTGATGGCAATTTCCGTAAGCTTTGTATGCGATTCATCTCAATCTCCCAATCAATCACCGATGTCGCGGCCAAAATGAGTACTGAGTCGCTCAAAGGCCCTTTAAGCAATTCACAATCCGCTCGCGCAGGGCTGCTTGGCGGTGTTTGGTCGACACGCCCCCTGGCTAAATTGGTCGTTCTTATCAAGGGGAGACTATCGCTCTGTGTCAACCATTCTGAGTGTTCGTCGTCTCTGTTCGTCAGTCCAACCCGAATCAAAGATCGTGAGCGCGAGTATTGGCAGCTGAAAGCGCGAACAAATATTTGCGGAGTTTTACCTTACTATGACACAGCCCGACAACGCCAAGATCGCCATCGTCGACTTTGCTTCCTTCCTCAATGGCTCTAACAAGCAATCTGTCGCAGATGCGATGCTGGAATCGTTCAAAGAAATCGGGTTCGTTTACTTGGTCAATCATGGCCTCCCCAAGGACAAGATACAGAGTACGCTGTCGATTTCATACACCCGAGCAGTCCGACCAACCGATATTCTCTATCCAGCAGTGTTTGATTGGGTGCTCATTGTTCTATTGATTCGATTCTTCTAGATTTCTAACGTCCTGATAGTCGAAAAAGTTTTTTGCTCAGCCAATGGAAGTAAAACAGCTTGCCCCGCACCCTCCCTCAGGCACGCATCACCGCGGTACGCTTTCATGGCATTTGTGAACAGCAAGATGTCTCATTTGTATCACATATATACAGGCTACTCGGCTCCAGGCGTCGAGAAAGTGGCTCAGCACATCTACGATGAGAAGGAAATCTCTGCACACAGAGCAAAGGCGCCTGACGTAAAAGAGAGTTTCGAGGCACGTCATGACCATTTCGTTCCACGACGCTAGGTTCGATCCCGCTCACAAACCCTTCATTCTGCAGGTCGGTCGTGAAGAAGACAGCATGCAGCCTAATATTTGGTTACCAGACGATGTCTTGCCTGGATTCAAAGAAGCTTGCTTGGACTTTTTCTGGGTCAGCCTCAGTTCGTATCAGCCGTTGGATCGTCGGGCTTGACTATTTATCCATGGACTGGGTGCTTACAGGCGTGCGACGAGATAAAGTACAAAATCCTCTCCGCCATTGCGCTCGGCCTTCACCTCCCCGAGGACTTCTTGAATCAGTACCACCAGGAATCAGACAACCAGCTGCGGCTGTTGCACTATCCTAGGCAAGAATTTTTCTGAATATGGCGTGCATTTGACCCCCTAATGCTGTGCCTTTGAATTCATCGTATGGCGCCGACGATAATAGTGTTCCAGTCTCCGCGCTCGCCGCGAATTCGATCGCCCGCATTGGCGCTCATTCAGATTTTGGATCCATCACGCTCTTGCTGCAGGACGATGTCGGTGGGCTTGAAGTCGAGGATATCAACGAGCCTGGCGTGTTCCGGGTAAGCCCTTCTGTCTTTCCCCTTTCAATCAAACACTCACGTATACGACCTGCGTCCTGGATAGGCGGCGCCCCCTGTCAAAGACGCGCTTATCGTCAATGCTGGCGATCTCATGATGCGATGTAAATGAAGTCTCGATTTTGCATCACGCGGCTTTGTGCTAACCCATGCTACAATGCCATTTGTATATGTCGGATATCGTAGGGTCGAATGACGTTGTTCGAAGTACGATACACCGCGTGCAGGCGCCGCAGGGACTTGTCTCCCCCGATGGAATGACTCCCGAGCGGTATTCTATACCATATGTAAGCTATATGTGTTTCTATCTATCCTATATGCGCTACTATTCACAAGGCGATTTCATGATTCATCTTATAGTTCTGCTCCACGGCAAGTCCGTCTCACTCTTTCAGTAACCGCCACCTGAGAATCACTACTCAGGATTTTGACACGGTCATCGAGTGCCTCCCCGGCACGTTTGATGCGCACAGACCGAAACGCTACGAACCAATCTCGGTAGGCCGTCCCACTCTCCACCTTACAGCATCGAACTGATGTTCGCGTGGTTGATTTGATTTCAGGCGACGGAGTACGTCATGAAGCGCCTTGCGGCGAATTACTGAGAATACAGCGATTGGTGTGCGACAGACAGAGGGGCACAGGGTCATGTCAGTGGAGTTCAATCAAGACTCTCATCGACATTTGGATGAATTACAACTATGCAAAACTTTCATCGCTGATGAATTCCTGCCAGGTCTCGTGAGCACTTTTTGTTTACGAAGTTTGACTTCTGATGGTCCGCAGACCGAGGTCCGAGCATACGCCCTGTCTCGGTAAACATTCCCACCATAGTTTACAGGCAGGTCATCTAAGAAGAGGTGCAAATTCAGTCACGTACTATGTGCCCGAAATTTGGCTATCGCTTTGCATGTGTCCGCGGCATCTCGACTGCGGTGTGCAGGACTCAGGGAGACTCGAGATCGGCGGCTAGGCTGCCATACTTCAGACGCATGAATCAAACACTGATCATGCACATGCACACCCAGTATGATACACGAGTAGCATGCAGTCAGTATCTCAGACCTGTGAAAACTCGGCAGGTCCAATGATTGCACATACGCGATGCTTCGCGGCTGTTCAGACGTCTCTGACAGGCTCCATCCATTGCCACGCACTGTAGGTAGCAGCGCCGCCTGCGCCCTCACACGCCTCGCCTTACCTCAGCTGAGGACCGCATGTGACGGCGACGCGCTTGGCGAAGTCCCTTTCAGTTTCTCCTCCCATTCTCTCAACTCCTGTTCCAACGCACAAACATTGCTGAGACCCCCTGTGGATATGTCTGATACTTCGACCGCCAATCCAACACAGCAGCTCATCAGCTAGTTCCAAGCTCTCAACAGATCGGATGTCCAAGAGGGCCATATTTTGCTCATCTTGGATCACTACGATTCAGCGAAGACTGAGGTCTAACGCTCCCTCCACCCGGACCTCACGGCCTCGACTATCCCCCAGAATTTCATGCAATCCACTATAGGCATCCTTGCCACACTACCTCAGGGTAAACTTCCGCTGTCCCTCTCGAATGCCCTCTTCTATGGAGGCGATCAAAACCAACTCCGTCAACTGAAGCCTGCCGCCGAGCTCACAGACCTTTTACTCACTCACGAACATGCGGCAGAATTCCTTTTGAACGCATGCAATACGTAATCAACGCTTCTCGCTCTTGTATGCATTGTTTGACATGCTCGAAGTCATCAATGATGATTTACCGGAGACCGTGTGAGTCGGTCTCGTCACCTTTGCCCGCCTGAATCAGCGTTGACATCTCTGGACTTTTAAATAGAGAAGAGCAGGCGATGAGGTTAGACAAGGTCTTTCATCAAAAATACCGAGGCGGGGTAGTCGACGAGTTCCTCCAAGCCCTTTCCAAATATGAATCTATGTATAGGGATGACACATATCACGGAAAAATCATCAGTATTCAGCAGTCCCACGGCACCGGAAGATCGTGTCTCGTTGAAGAGTTAGGAAGTCATGTGCGTACCTTTGTATACACTGTTTGCCCTATCTCTCTTGATCTGTACGCTCTCAGGTCCCGACACTGAGTATCTACTTGAAAGGCGAGGATGCCTGTTTATCACAAGTCATCCTACATGTCTGGCACGAGGATTCGTCGTTGACATTGCATCATGATAGGGCGAGGAGATAACAGCGGCATTTTATGGAGCACTGTTAGAGGTTGTAACAGACGCGATGGAGCCATCCCCATCGCCTAAAGAGGCGATGCGTGCATGGCAGGTGGAACTCCCTGCAGCCAGTCGCCGTCAGCAGTTCACCAAGGTTGCGAGGCGTGCAGAGAAGATCCTCGCAGATTACGAGACCAAACTCGAAGACATGATATCCAACTCGACTGAACGGAAGACTGAAGTTGTCTTCCGTCAGGATTTAGACACATTTTTTCATCTTGCTCAACCCAGAATGCAAGCCCTCGCCACGAAACTGTGCGCGCTTGGTTACAGTCGATTCATCGTTGCCTTCGACGGGTGCACTGCTCTCAACAGAATATATCGCGGAATGTTGCGCGCTCCCATTGGACGGACCTCGCTGGATGCTTTGGGGCGCGTCATCAAAGCTGCCGACGGTTGCGAACATTCTCATGGTATCGTATTTTGGCACCTTTTTGTGAACACAGAGGCGTCTGTGCCTCCACTGGCCATCCAAAAGGAAATTCCGTCTAATTTCGGATTTCTCGCAGATCTATACATTCCTTTGCCCGTCTGGGTCTACCTGGGATTTGATCAGCTCAGGGAGGAGGCCATGGAACGACTAGAGAAGCCGGAAGACGCACTGATATTGCACAACCTCAAATTCTTCGGGCGTCCGGTTCGTATCAGCCGCGCTGTACACTATTATATCTCTTTTAACGGCGCCTGTTCAGCTTTGGAAGACTTGTAGAATGATCGATCTCTTGCGCGAGGCCACACTCAGGCTTTTCGGTATCTATAATTTCAACCCGAACGATCAGCATCATGTGTTTGCCGCCTTCGCAAGTCGAGTCCTTCTCGAAGTTGCCGACAACGCAGCCGCAAGTCCAGTGGCAGAGACCGCGGTGGCCCGACACATGCGCATGTTGATGGGTGTCGTCCGCGGCGGGGTCAGCACCAAAGCGCCCTCCGAACCGCTTCTCGCTATTGCTGCGGCCCAAGAGTTGAGTCAAAAAGGTAATACGTATAATATCGCGATGGACTTGCTTTAAAAGCTTGTTCTCGATGGGGTTGTGCTCGATCGAGGCATACAAGGTGACTTGTGCGGCCGGCTCCTCATGACACTGGCCCGCGACAAGGCGACCCTTCCCCATGGAGGCCGATTTGTTCAGACAAAAGGAGACAGACACCTTGACGCGATCTCAGCCGCCACCTTCAGTCAATTTCTCGTCACCTTGCTTGGAGACGACTTGGGTCTTTCTAAGGAAGAGGACCAGAGATCTCTTGGATGCTGGGGGAGCGGCGTTTGGCTTAACTTTATGCATTTCGTGCAAATTGATACTGACATCGACAAAATCACGCCCAAATATCTACGCGAGCTCTGGACTCGCACTTGCGCGGCGCAGTGCAAAGTCGGTCATCCAGTGATAGACGGATTTCTCGTGGGCTACGAGGGAAACATCGAGGAGCCGATTGTTTTGAAAAAATTCATACTTATCTCGTACCAGATCAAATCGAGATCGACTGGGGCCAGGAAATGCGCTGCTGAAGGCTTGACCTGTCCTTTCATCGTGCAAGAAAACGGTGCGCTCTTCAAGCCCAAACACATCGCGCTCTTCCTCAATCTAGCGACTACCGTCAACCCCCCAGGTCTCCGTGGCTCTCACTCTAAGGTGTCGTTCGAAAAGGCCGATCCTACGAGTTGCAAGTGGGCTGGGTACGCCGAGAAGGAGGAGGACGAGGTGGCACGGTGCTGCTTCAACGTGAGAGGGTATGGCGTGGGCCAGTATCCCGTCATCCGAAGTCTCGAAAGTCTATTTGAAGAGATGTTCCGGCATGCCCTTGCTTGTTCACAGCTTGAATTCCAGAAGTATGCAGACGCGCTGCAAGAGGTTACAAGGGTCGCCAAGGTGTACTAGTTTATTGTGAAAGACGGTGGAGAACTGGGATTTTGAGACAGACCGCACACAAAATAGGTGGTTCGATGACATAGTAGCTCGCGCGGCGCAGTATATTATAACTTGTAGTGACAGAACGTCTTAGAATGAGAGAACAAGTCAGGATTCTCCAGATACTCTCGAGAAGCACGATGCTACGGCGCTGAGCATGCCTATATTCTCAGATGATTAGATACCTCGATAACAGTGGCAGTCTACTGCGGAACCCCTTGATGCAAGCGCAACCACTGAAATACCTGCAGAAAATGTGGTGTTTCATGCTGGCCTCTTCCACACATCCATAACGCCTTCTATGCAGATCATAAAAGTAATGGTAACATGGGGCTAAGATACTCAAGGGTTCTTGTGGACAGAGGACACCTTCAAGTCCTAAGGCCAATTTTCCCGCTGATCTTTGAACGTCGTGACTATATGAAGGAGCTGCTCGAAGATAGGAAACATGATTTTGATTGAGCGCGGCAATATGTCTGGGGTGGCTGACAACAGGAGGATCCTGAGGCCTGCCGCCAAATTGTCGTTGCCTCCTCATCAAAATCTGACGCGAGGCCGCTGAGTCAACATATTGGTGGAGCCTTGCAGTGACGTCATCCAACCACAGATCAGGGTTAGGGCTCTGCCAATTTTTGGACGGGATCGGTGCTCTTCACAGCCACCAGCTCGCTCCTCTTCACCTGTCCATCTTAGCGGTGCGCTTATATCTTTCATACCGCACTTGCTCATTGCTGATTGATAAGATGTCTACAGGGCTGTACCGGTCAGATTTGTGCGGCGAACACGCTAGGTGTAGTGCATTGCTTGTGTTCATCGTGAACGGTACGCAACCCAGGTTGATCGCATTGGAATCCAAAGTGAAATCTTTCTCGTCCGATAAAGATGCTGGTTCTCACTGGTTCCTCCGCTTTGTCTCCTTCAAAAAGGCAAGCGTTGCTTGAAGCCGCTCAGAGCTCTCGTCCCAACATCCTTTCCGTCGATGCCGTCTACATTCATCTGGTCGACTGCCCATCAGTCGAAGGAGAATCTGACCTGTCTCAATCCTCGTCTCAACCTCGCCAGGTGCTGAATCGACTATTGGATTATGGAGATTCGATTTCTCTGGAGAATACGCAAGCGGCGATCGCGAGAGGGTCGGGGCTTGTGTATGTCTTTCCCAGGCCTGGTTCTGTCTCTCCCTGGTCCAGCAAAGCCACGGACATTGCCAGGCTCTGTGATCTTGGTGAATACATTGAACGTTTGGAGCGTGGTGTCGTCTTTGTCTTTACGATGAAGGAAGGACTCTTCACGTCGCAAGATCTTATTGTGGTAGCCCCGCTTCTTCATGACAGGATGACTCAGATCGTACAACTCGAACCTCCTTCTCCTGAAGACATCTTCCGACATCGCGATCCTAAACCTCTCCGAACCATCGATCTTGCAGCGAATGATGACCTTTCACCACGACAACGCCTCGAGCGCGCAAACAAGTCCTTGGGCCTCGCTCTTGCTTCCGATGAGATCGACTATCTTGTGGAAGCTTTCGTCTCAGGAAAGTCTCCCATTGATCGCAATCCGACTGATGCCGAACTATTCATGTTCGCGCAAGTGAACTCGGAACACTGTCGCCATAAGATCTTCAATGCATCATGGTCGATCGATGGTCAAGCTCTCGACAAGTCTCTTTTTCAAATGATTCGTAACACAGAGCAGATCAACGGACTCGGAACGCTCTCGGCCTATTCGGACAACGCCGCTGTCTTTGAGGGACGAACTGCACCTCGTTTTGGCGTCGCATATGCGCCCGACAGCACTCTCACCCCCTCTGCCCGCCATCTCTACCAATCCTCTGACGAAGCCATGCCTGTCCTGATTAAAGTCGAGACACATAATCATCCCACTGCCGTTTCCCCTTACCCCGGCGCTGCTACCGGTTCAGGTGGCGAGATCCGTGACGAAGGTGCTGTAGGACGCGGATCCAAACCCAAGGCTGGCCTTGCGGGCTTCACGACGTCCAATCTCCTGATTCCCGGGTACATTCAGCCTTGGGAAACCGACTTTGGCAAGCCAGCGCATATCGCTTCCGCCCTTGACATCATGATCGAAGGCCCACTCGGGGCAAGTGCTTTCAACAATGAGTTTGGCCGTCCAGCGCTCGCGGGATATTTCCGCACTTTTTGTGAGAACGTCCCCGTATCTGAAACTGCCACGGAGGTGCGCGGATACCACAAGCCTATCATGCTCGCAGGTGGGCTGGGGAATGTCCGTCCCCAATTTGCAAACAAGTCCACGATCGATGCCGGCGCGAAGATCGTTGTCCTTGGTGGTCCTGGGATGCTGATAGGTCTGGGAGGAGGGGCGGCGTCAAGCCAGTCTCTCGGCTCTGGGTCTGCAGACTTAGATTTCGCCTCAGTCCAGAGGGACAATGCCGAGATGCAACGTAGGTGCCAGCAGGTCATCGATGCTTGTGTGAACCTCGGTGATCAGAGTCCGATTCAAAGCATCCACGACGTTGGGGCGGGAGGGTTGTCCAATGCGCTGCCAGAGCTAGTCCACGATTCAGGGCTGGGCGCGATCTTTGAAATCAGAGACGTGCCTGTCGCTGATTCTAGCATGTCGCCGATGGAGATATGGTGTAATGAGTCTCAAGAACGATACGTCTTGGCCATCTCTCCACAGAAGGAAGATCTTTTCCGGGAGTTGGCTGAACGAGAACGATGCATCTTCGCCATCGTCGGTACTGCAACCGCGGAGGAAGATCTCATCGTTACAGATCGCCTACTGCAGGAGGATGTCATTCATCTCAGCATGTCGACACTGTTTGGAAAGCCCCCTCGTATGTCGCGGTCTGACAATACTCGCACCGTCCACCGCTCTTCCTTTGACACCACTTTATCGTCGTACATACCCTTACTCTCGTTCAATGAGCGTCTATCGGAGGCTGCATCTCGCGTCCTCCGACTCCCCTCTGTCGCCTCTAAATCTTTCCTTATCACCATCGGCGATCGCACGATCACTGGCCTCGTCACCAGAGATCAGATGGTCGGACCATGGCAAGTTCCCGTCGCCGACGTTGCAGTTACTCGTGCATCTTATGGGTTCAATGTCCTCACTGGCGAGGCTATGGCCATGGGAGAGCGCACGCCCCTGGCCCTTATTTCCCCAGCAGCATCCGCACGGATGGCGGTTGCCGAATCACTCACCAATCTGGCGGCCGCCCACATTCGCGATCTCGAACGCGTGAAGCTCAGCGCCAACTGGATGTGTGCTGCAGGCAAGGCCGGGGAGGGCGCTGGGCTCTATGAAGCAGTGCGTGCTGTCGGGATGGAGCTCTGCCCCGCACTCGGAGTTGGAATTCCTGTAGGAAAGGACTCGATGTCGATGGCCATGCGGTGGAAGCATGGCGATGAAGACCGTGAGGTCAGCTCCCCTCTCTCGTTGATCGTGACGGCCTTCGCGCCTGTCGACGATGTCGGTGCCACGTGGACGCCAGAGTTGAAGACGAATGTCGGGGAGTCCACTGTACTCGTTTTCTTCGACTTGGCATTGGGCAAATTTAGGCTTGGAGGATCCGCGATTGCACAGGTGTTTAAGGAGATAGGGGACGAGGCGCCTGATGTGGAGGACCCAAAAGCCGTCCGAGCCTTCTTCCAGGGTTGTCAGAATATCAGGAAAAGCGACCCTGGGCTTGTTCTAGCGTACCACGATCGCTCAGATGGAGGTCTTTTTACAACATTGGCAGAGATGGCCTTTGCCGGCAGGGTCGGGATGGAGATCTCACTTGACGCATTGCACTCAACCGGTAACCCCGTGGAGATTCTATTCAACGAGGAGCTGGGCGCTGTCATACAGGTCGCACAGAGTAAAGTCCATCAACTTGTCGCTGCATTCAATCAAAAAGGATTCCCGTCGACTTCGATTCACGTTCTGGGCGCTATCCATGACGACCCGAAGCTCGACAGCATTTCCATCATCTACAAAAGCGATCCTATCTTTGTCAGTACCCGCGCTGATATGCAGCGAATCTGGTCGGAAACGTCTTACAAGATGCAATTATTGCGTGACGACCCTGCCTGCGCATCGGAAGAGTTCACCCTCATAGATGATGCTTCCAATCTAGGTCTATCGTACGATCTGACGTTCTCATATCATCCCCAACCTTCCTTACCTCAAAGGCCCAAGGTTGCCATCTTGCGAGAGCAAGGTGTGAACGGACATGTCGAGATGGCATGGGCGTTCACTGCCGCAGGCTTCGATGCTGTAGACGTACACATGTCCGACGTCATCTCTGGCAGTGTTTTACTGAAGGACTTCCGTGGTCTTGCAGCATGTGGCGGCTTTTCGTATGGAGATGTTCTGGGAGCCGGTAAGGGTTGGGCAAACTCCGCACTCCTCCATCGCGGCGCGCGAACAGCCTTCTCAGACTTCTTCGCTAGAGATGACACGTTCGTGCTGGGAGTCTGCAATGGATGTCAATTCCTGAGTCATATGAAGGAGGTCATACCTGGGGCTGAGGACTGGCCGGAGTTCAAGCCGAATAGGAGTGAGAGGTTTGAGGGCAGGGTATCGATGGTTGAAATAGCGGACAATGAGGTGACACGATCTTCTGTTTTCCTTGCTGGCATGGGCGGCTCGAGGATGCCGGTCGCGGTTGCTCATGGGGAAGGGCGTGCTGTATTCCTTGGAGGCGCCGGACAGCTCGAGTCCATAAAGAAGCGAGAGCTAGTAGCTCTCCAATACGTCGACTCACAAGGAAAACCAACGATGGCCTACCCATTGAATCCCAACGGGTCTCCTGAGGGGATCACAGGACTCCAGACGCCAAATGGCAGAGTACTCGCATTAATGCCTCACCCAGAGAGGGTCGTTGCATTAGAGAGCAATAGCTGGTATCCCCAGGAGTTGAAAGAGAGCTGGAAAGGTATGGGCCCATGGTTTAGGCTGTTCGAAAATGCACGAAAATGGTGCAATTAGACTGGGGTCTCTTATTGAAGTCTCCGCTTCATCCGTTTGTCAGAACACTTTATATAGGAATGAACGCACAGGAGCGAATTCAATGTTGTACTTTGTGAACTGGTATTTTGGAGATAGACTCGCCGGCGTGTTGTTTGATCCCATGACTTGATGGTTCTTATGCAGTTGTGATAGCGCTATTACCCCGGGCTGTCGGTGACGCTCAGTAAAAACGGAATTCAGGTGAACGTCAAGCACAGTCAAAAAATGGTCTTTTGTCATGTATCCATCAAGAAAGTAGCGCGAAAAGTCATGCACAAGTCATAAACTTCCAAAATTAGACACGACTTTCACACGACTTCTGCACTGCTTTCATGACGGATACATGACAAAATACCAATTTTTGACTGGGCATGACGTTCACTTGAATTTCCGTTTTTACTGAGGGTGGTGTGTGTGCGACGCTATGTGCTATCTCTCGATGCCGCCATGAGACAAGTCTTAGATAGTTAGTCTGACGAAAATGAGGTTATCCTACAGCGGATTGCTCAGAAAGCGGTCAAGGTATCCAAAAGGGTCGCCCTAACGACAGCTAGCTATAGAAATTACGAATGAACCGCTTACTCCCTCTGTTTGCGAGGATCAATGTATGACTTGTTTTGACATAGTCATGGGCTCAGACCTGCTCAGATGAGTCTCGTTGCCTGGGGCACAGTGGGACATTCGTGTCTATGCGTGGTAAGCTGTTACCTCCAGAAAGCATCGGTCACTGCCTACCGTGTTTTCAGCGCTGGTTCCCACCTGATTAGCTTGCCTTGGCAGAGCCTTCGACCTCTATGTGTCATGATAGACTGGATATCCCTGCGATCTCAGCTCTCGCTCTCAAAATAACTGGTATCACTGAGACAAGTTCATGATATAGAAGTGATATGGAGAGCACTGGATTTCTCCGCGACGTTTTGCAAACAGGCAGAGCAACCCCGAAAAGGCCCACCAATAAAATCAATTGCTCTTCAAATTTGCGCTATAAATAATAGCAAGGTGTGATAGGGTGTGATCTACCTCGTGGGTTCAGAGGGGTAACAGGCGTCCAAAGATGTGGATGAGAAGATGCGAGACGCGTCAGCCGCATTGTAAGCTGACTCAGAACCCAGCCTAATGTTGCTTACACTCACACGACACCGAATCAGCATGCTGTCTGTAGACAGCCGTAGACGGATCCTGCTCGAATATAAAAATGGACGGCCACTGTCGGTCTTCAGCTTCACAACACAGTCCCCACTCGCTAAATTGCATCCACGCTGAATCCTCGTCCTCTTTCCAAAATGGTCCTGAAAATCCACGGTGTCGCGCAGTCGACCTGCACTCGTCGCGTTGCTCTCATTTGCAAGGAGAAAAACGTGCCGTACGAGATTGTCCCTGTCAACTTCCAAACTGGGGAACACAAGAGCCCCGCGCACCTCGAAAAACAGCCTTTTGGACAAGTACCCTACATCGTAAGTCGCAATACATGGACATTCTCACATTCGAATAACGGTAGCTTCGTATTCGCACCCATCTAGGACGATGACGGGTTCATCATCTTTGAATCTCGCGCTATCAGTCGTTACATCGCGACCAAATATGCAGACCAGGGCACGCCAGGGCTCATCCCCACCGATTTGAAGGCTGTTGCAATCTTCGAACAGGCTGCCAGCATCGAAGTGAACGACTTCGAGCCGTATGCCGGTGGTATCTGCCTCGAGAAGATATTCAAGCCGTGTGTCTTCGTCGCACCATTCTGCGCGCATAACTCAGCTGACGAGTATCTGCCATGCACAGCAATCGTGGAGTCAAGACTGATGAAGCGCGCGCGGCGGAACTCGCAGCAACGCTCGAGTCTAAGCTTGAAGGCTACGAAAGGATCCTGAGCAAGCAGAGGTATCTCGCCGGAGACGTATGTACCAGACCTCGACTCAGGAAATATGACATTCATACTGACCGTCGAACATATGTCGGATAGAATGTCACCTTGGCAGACCTGTTCCACTTGCCGTACGGCAACTCTATCACCGTTTTGGGATACGGGCACCTCAGCAAGACACCCAACGTCGCTAGGTATTTGCTATATGCTGATCACTGTCTAAAATTCGATACTCATGGTGGTGGTAGATGGTGGAAGGACATCTCATCCAGAGCGTCGTGGCAGTCCGTCAAAGACAGTGCATGATAAAGCGTCGCATTGTATATCTTGGGACTTTATAGAAGTAAAGCTTTGGACTTCTCGCCAGCACTCCCTTCGTCTGCTTCATCAGTCTCAGGCCGGAGAAACCCCGTAAAATATCTGAAACTCTCGATCTTTGTGAGCTCCAATTTCCAGGCAGCAATAAAGTCCTTCAAGTGTTGATTATGCCTATGATGTTCTGCTTTAAGGTGAATTGGACTGCTCAAGTAATCTCTAACTACAGCTACGCTATGGAAGTCGTCTCCGGTCCTATGCTGTAGCATAATTAACGTATTTCGTCACCAAATCCGTCCTGATCTCATAATCCACAATATCCCCTGCCACTTGCCTGGCACGCGTGACGTCTAATCCTTGAATGATATCGCCTCCATGCAAGTCTTTGAAAAACTCGAGAAGCTTCGCTGCAGGCGTATCAGGGTTGGCCATCACTTGATCAAGCCACTGTTCCATAGTGACGAGCCTGAGGTTTTCGGGGCGGGATGTCACAAGCGCGTGAGCGATCAGAGACCACGGTGCGGAGAGTCCGTTATCAAGGCTGTAGAATTGGATCCTGGATCCTTCAAATGTCGCGGCCGAGCTGAAAGAAACCTCTTTATTGAGGATCTCGGCAGCTACATTCACGGGAAGCCAGCGCACTGGCTATGTGCGAAGTAAGAAAAGTTTTAATAGAACAATATGCTGTGCTCACCGGAAGATCTTCTGGCACGATTCCAAGCTGCAAACAACTCTGGAACAAGATAGGCATATTTTCTGACCTTGCCCAGGCGCCGGTTTCCTCGGCTCCAGATAGCTGACCAGTCCTGATAATAGTTGCACGGAAGTCGGATCGCTGCTTCACAGCTTCTTCAAGTATCTTCTCAGCGACATACTTAGAGTGAGCATAACCTTGTTCAAGACATATGTGCGATGAAGAAATAGGTGCTTCTGGTACGGAATTGGGGCCGGGGTATCGTCCTGCGGCTGCAACGGAGGAGATGAAGGTGACATGTGGAGGAGCAGGGCGTGGAGACGAGAGCGAGAGATCTATGATGTTACGCACACCGGCAACATGGGTCTTGAATGAAGGCAATATGAGGTTGAAATTCAGCAGCCAAGCATTGTGTACGATGTGCGTGACTTCGGAGCGCAACTGAGCAGCGAGTAATTAGAATTAGTAAGTTAGCATCGAGGTTAAGGGAAAAAGCAGACCTGCTTATACGCCTTCTGGCTTAAGCCTAGATCCTTCCGGCTCAAGTCGATCTCGAGGTATACAGCTCGACCATTAGCAATTGCCTGGTCAACCACCCCATAATCAAGACCTTTGTCTAAGAAGGAGTCTTTCTGCCTCTGTTCAACAGTCGCCGATTTGCTCGATCGGTTGAGCAGGTACACCTTATGGACGTCTGGCTCGCGCAGGAGTAAAGAGATGTAAAACGAGCCCAACGACCCAGTCGTCCCAGTGACGGCATACACTGCGCCAGAGTCGAGGGTCATGGAAGAGGTAGAGGGGGATTGATGATAGGGGAGATTGGCGGTGAACTCGGCAATGGTCCGCTCAATCTGTATATGAATGTCCTCGGAGTGGCCCGCTTCGCTATCCGACGCAAGAGCAGTTTGAAGGAAGTGGACCAAAGACGATATAGTGGGGTATGAATAGACGACATTCCTGGATACGTGCGCCGAACGTCCCGACCTCCTGATCGCTGAAACGATAGACGATCGAACTCTGATCGCAAGAAGAGAATCCAAACCCGCATCGAACAAGTCGTCCTCATCTCCAACTGCGTGGTGCAGCACATTGGCCATGGCTGCACGCAAAAATCGCCTCAGTGCATTCACATCCCCTGGCAGGAAGCCAGATTGTGGCATGCCAAGTTCTAGTCCCTCACCATCCTCCATGGCCTGGTACGCTTGCTCGATTTCTTCCTCATACATGGCCAATGTCAGCTTCACCTTCACAGTACCCTTATCTGTGAGCAGCATCGCCTTGTCAGGCTTGGCCACAAGTACGAGGGAGCGAACAAGGCGAGAGTGTTGGGGTAAAATGGGATTGACATGGTCGAATATATGTGGCCAGACAACGTCGAGATAGGCGGAGACGGTCTTGGTAGTATATGGGACGAGAGGAGCTGACGGCTCGAGGATAGCACCGTTCATGAATCTGCCAGAGCCAAAGATGGCGGTATGTGTAATATGAGGAGATATGCGGAGGAGTGTATCTGGAAAACGATTGGTACGAGGACACAAGACCGACAAATGACGAACCTAGTTGCTTGTTGTCTGTCTTCTCACCATTGTTCAGGACTGTCTACAGGCTCATGTGAGTGAAAGGCATATGAGAAAAATGCAATGCAACAAACCACGTCGTCTGCGCGTCCCGCATGCTTCCACAAGTGTGCTTTCGTTGGATCGGGGTGGTGAAGCCACAGATCACCTGTCTTGAAAGCAATCGGATCGCCTTGATTGAGTACACAAGGCGTGATTGTGCCCGGCTGCGTAAGAAAAAATCAGCAAGGATGCGACAAGATCAGTCCCACACGCACCATCACAAGCAAACTATGCAACAAGCCAGCTTCGTCTACAGGATCCAGCTTGACGTTATAGTCGTCGAGGAAGCAATAGTAATCCCAGTCCAACGGGTCCCTGTCAACGCTAGGAGACATGCGCGCTAGTAAGCCTGTCTCTGTCCTGCAAATGCGTGGATGAGCACAAACATCATAGCAGGAATAGCAACATGCAACAAACATTCCATAACCGGCCATGAGACAGACACCACTCTTGACTAGGAAATCGCCAATATCTTTTTTGAGAGGTGCGCCGCAGAACAGAACCATGTGCACCGTGCGAAGAGCCTCGAGTAGAGTTAACAGAGGTTGTAGACCAATCACATAGCGGATACAGAACGTACCTGTAGTCCTTGGTCCTTCGTTTCACCTCCGATAAGATCTTCTATGATGCTTGGAGCTAACACGAGGTCGACGTCCTGTAGCTTAGGTCCGAAGAGTGAAAGTTGGCGTAATACGAGTGATACCGAGATAGGGTGACGTGTATTGACAAAGGTATAAACACCTCCTGTCCCAAGAAGAGTGATAATCGATAAGGTGTGTCCAGTAGCCTAGAGACGCCATGGGACAATTTCGGCAATAGTATAAGTGGATGAGATTCAACAATAGAATAGGGTGAAAACCCGTGTAACTTACGTGGTATAAAGGCAGCGGTGTATAGACAATCGTGTCAACCGCCTCCGGACGATCCTTGCGCATTACGTGGGACAAAGTCACCGTGAACTCATGGGTCCAGGGGATCTTCTTCGGATGGCCTTTATCAACATAGCCCATGAGACTGAATATTGGAAAAAGTTCAAGGATACACGTGCCTGTGGAGCCAGAGGTGTGCAGATGCACCACAGGCCTGCGGGCCTCTTCGGCCAAGTTCAAGTCTGTGGCATAACCGAGAAAATTATCCCACTCAGCAAGCTCAGACTGAGATGTGAGTTGATCTGCTACATGATCGTCCTTCGGAGCATGGACTGTCTCGAAAGAGTTACTGGCGACACTCGCTGCGAGCGCGCTCGACTCAGCATCAACGATCAAATACACCCCGCCGACGGATTGCATAAGGGATTTGATGGCCTCTGGTGAATTACGCGGAGAGATGAGCAGAACCTAAATTCTGCGGTCAGTCGTCGCTCTGAACGAAATGGAGAGTCTCACAGTCCAACGAAGCATAATCATCGCCATAAGGGTGACAAAATACGAGTAGTCACTTCTGGCCAATAATCCGACATTGACTGCTTCTTCTCCCAGCTTGCGCGGTGCCCTACCAGTTGCCTTGAGGATAAACCCAGCACGACGATGCACATGTGTAAGAACATGTCGCCACGTCAAGGAGGAGATTCTAGCGTCCGACGGCCTGCCAGTATCGTCTAGAATGAGCACGATCTCGCGATCCAAGCGTGTACGAGCCAGTCGAACGATGTACTCGGGAAGAGGTAGAGGTATGCTTGTAACAAGAGGCAACGCAGGTGCAGAGTGACTATTGTTGGCCACGACTGGAGAAGAAGGCATGACGAAACTGAACGATGTCGATGAGATGTCGAGCGGATACGTTTAAATATGTTGACAGCGACTGTATAAATAGCGAGTGAGTCAACAAGTTGCATGGCGCGTCTGAGTACTCAGGCAGAATAGACGGCAACATCATGAAGCGAAACGGAAGATGTTTGCCGATACCATCGGAAATTACTCGCCTGTCGACCGCGGTAACTCTGCGTTGTGAGAATTAATTCATCCCAAAGGCTATCTAGACAGAGCCCATGCAGGGTTTGCTGCCTAGCGAGAACGCCCTAGTTTGAGAACCAATGTGGACGAACCTTGGCGAATATCAGTCAGCAGGCGTCTTTAACACCTGAGGGCAAATGGGATCGCATGGCCTCGAAGTGAGTCGTTGTTTCATGCTCTAGTTTCACGTCCTGAGCTACTTAGATGACGTTGAGCCCGTCGACGTGTGGTGTGAACGTCAGCTTTGCAAATGTAACGATTCTGTAGATCTTAACTAATCGTTCTTTTGGATAAGTTATGCGACATAACCATTGACCTGTTGCTATAGCAGACAGCGAGCGGTTTTAAGTATGAATACATGATAATTTGACGCGTGTTGCGGGATCGGGAGCCTGTGATGATATATAATAGAATCGTCCGAAAATGCAATGTCGCCGAAGCAAAGGTGGCGCACCTGAGTTCTTTGGAAGAACGACGATTATTGACGATGCCGAGCTATCACCCGCAACGGCCGTAACTCAAAGAACAACCTTGTTCTCGTGCCAAAGTCTAGTACTGATCTAGCACGCTGACGCTGGGAAGGTTTGAATCCCGAATCCCGAGAGCGTCGGTGCTGTATTAGTGGTTCAACGTGTCAGTAGGGAGAGTAAAACATTGGTGCAGAACCAATAGAAGAATGACTGTGGGAAGTTGGAAAGAAACTATGACGCCACAGTGGTGGCCGATACACAAACCAGTCATGACATTGAGAAGGACGGCCTATTCTTGAGCCAGAGCAGCCGTGTCAAGTTCTTTTTGGGGTCACCCTGGGGATTTTACCACATTGTTGTCGACTTTGGAGAAAAAAGCGAACTCGATGGAGATGATACCATGAGTGTTTCATGATCGTAAGAGTCCATCAAGCATCCATGATCTCGACAATTGTGTGACGTGACGTAGCGTGATATTATTACGTCACGTCGACCAGACATATAATATACGTTATTGTTCGGCGACAAAAAGGCCTCGTCAATGATCCAGAGACAGCAGTCGACCTCTTTGAAAGGAGAGGCAACATATACTCGGAAAGGTTAATCTTTCTGTATTCGATGATCTAGCTAACTCATTCATCAGTTCCCACAGACCACGTATGCTCATGCTGAATGAGGCGTGAGTCGTGTCTTAATTGCACCATACGCCCTGATGAGGTTGATCCAGGGTCGGTTTTGGATAGAATTTCGGATTCACGGAGGATACAAAGTGTTGGAAAACCTGCCGACGAGAGTTTGACATCCGATTTCGTCAAATTGCTTCCTAAGATTTCAGAGAACACGAGCTTTTTATGGCTCACGCTCTCATCCAGAAGTTTTTGAGTTCTCCCAAAGACTTCATGCAACACCTCCGTTAGTGCGTGCCCGTGGATATTACTACGTCCCCATGGCACTCATAGTCGATCAATTGGATCGTGCAATCTAGCATGACTGGATCTCTCATCCTGACATCGCGTACGAGATTAAGGTCACGTCCGAAAATGACGAGTACATCGAGATCGCTGAACGGGGCCAAGAAGGCTTGGAGAGGTCTGGCGACAAGAATACCGTTGACATCGTTCCTTGGAGTACGTCTCACTTCATATATACCTAAATGAAAGCTTCGTCGAAAAAATTCTGATTTTGACTTTGATCTAGTTCAGCATCGTCCTGAATGGCTGCCAGCCATGGGCTGGAAGAGGCAAGCCAATGAATGAAAGAGATGGTCATTTGACATGCGCGATATCCCATTTGAATATGTCAAGAAGCAAATGGTATGTTGTCTTTCCGGCTTATTGACATACCCTCTCAGAAATCTGCAGGCCAAGGGATTTGTCAAACCTTTGTTCACACCCTACCTGCTCGAGCATTTTGACAAGAAGTCTTTCGATGAGGAGGCCAAGGAGTACTACATCAAGAGCATCGCCGGAACGGCATACCCTGGTTAGCCGCGCCTTGACTCTCCTTGTGTGCTATCCTTCTGAATCTGTTTACAGCTAGTTCGGCCACAGTACGTGCTTGCTTTCATCCATGATCCACCAACGAACTTACTCTGTCAAGATGGCGTCTGGGCTGAACACTTTAATTCTCATGTTGGTCATGTTCCCAGATGTCCAAGAGCGCGCTCATGCGGAAATCGACCGAGTCATCGGCTCTGACCGTCTTCCAGAGTTCTCGGATGAAGGACATATGCCATATATCGCCGCCATTGTCAAAGAGGTCCTTCGCTGGGCTGCTTTCGTGCCGTTTGGTGCGCGCCCTCGCCATTCAAGATCAATTGATTGATTGAGGTACGTTGCGCATCTAGCTGTTCCTCACTCGACTGCGGCCGATGACATGTATAAGGGCTATTTCATTCCGAAGGGCACATTTGTTATTGGAAACTCATAGTTGGTTTTCGTTGCGGCCATCCATGCATCGTCGAACCTGACGAACTCAAAGGGCCATCCTGCATGACCCAGCAACTTACCCAGAACCGGAAAGATTCAATCCAAATAGATTTTTGACGCCTGACGGCCAACTTGACCAAACGGTACAGGATCCACAGGTCGCATTTGGCTACGGTCGAAGAATTTATCCTATGCGTTCTCACACATTTCATACTTACGATCTCAGTCTGAACACCGATGCTAGAGTTGATTCATGGCTATGGACTCAATGTGGATAACCACAGCGTGTATTTTGGCCGCGTTCAAGATTGGGAGAACTGTGGATCATGATGGAAAAGATATCGTCCCTGCCGGGGAATTTCGATCGGGATTAGTAACGTGAGCCAGTTTGGTCTTCCCTCTCGTCAGATGATAATTAGCGGGATCCATGAATTTGCAGCCATCCGATGCCGTTCGGGTGTGTCATCCAGCCTCGTTCAGATCGTGTCATCTCATTGATCACGGCGTCGCAGGAGCAACAGGCTTGACACTACAGAACTCATCATGTCATTGTATACTGGATCAAAAGACTTATCTTCAATGGAAGCAAACAACTCACAGAGTTGCACTCAGTTGTACTGCGAGAAATTGCAACGACAAAAATTTGCGATCTCTCAGCGAAGTATTCGAGGGGCTATGCCGATCTTTTCGCTCAGGCAGGTACAGAAGTAATTAATGCGGATTTAGGGATCTGCTGAGGCGCTGTGTTACATGCACTGTCTCCGTCGGGAGTGTGGACCTGAGCAAGACGATTGAAGCATACCCCGACTGCTGATTTATAGAAGGCCCTTATACTCTAGATCCCTGGAAATATAAGGACAACCCGATGATGCTGGGATTAAGGATGACAACATGGAAGATCGTTACAATCCACGCAATGAAGCATGGGCGAAATGGTTAAATACAAGATGTCAATCCGGTTAGGGAGCATGAAAAGGATTCGATGAAGGCGAATGATAAGCATAAACGGACGAGGCGTAAGGATGTGGGCGTGCAGATGTATGTGGTGTTTAAGCCCATTGGGTTTTATCCCAAGCGGGATCTTGCAGAAAGGCACACAAGACCTTGCTTCCTGTCTGAATATAGACGTAGAGAGCAATCAGCATCTCGCGGGCAGCTCGATGGAACTGAACAAGTATCATGGCGCAACGGTTGACTTACCTGCAAAAGGGGATGTCCAGCAACGACGCTCAAAAAGCGCTCCAGGCCCTCCCGCCTGCCCTCTATGACCTCATCCGAGAAGCGGTTGGTGAAGACCTTGCCGGGGAGAGGAGGAATGTTGACACGCGTTGACTCGCGCTCGAGGACATCGCGGAAGGCTTCGAAATCAGAATAACGTCGGCGGACGAGGGAGTGTCGCAATTTGAACGCAGGGATGTTGGTCTGTTTGAACGGTCGATAAGCTAGAGGAAGGGGAAGACGAGACGATGTGATAGACTAGGGAGACGATGAACTAGCCTTGCACACGATCTCGTAGTCAGTGTACATCTTCCTTCCAAAGCCTGGTTGACGAAATGTCGAGGGTCACAAGGATGTCCTGAAATGCGCGAAGAGTGGGCGTACCGTGTGTCTGTGGATTTCTGACCTCTATCTCGAGGAAACTTTCCGGCACGCTATACATCTCCTCAATCTGAGAAAGTGGCGAGCAATCAGCTTGTGTGGGGCATCTAGCGAAGGCATAGAACGGACTGTTTGTTCTCTACCATTGAGTCTTGGCTCCTCGAAGGCGCTGCTCCGAGCGAAGGGAGAGACGGTGGTCATGGTGGATGGCGATCAAGCGGTGTTGGGCGCCACACGCGATGACTCTGTTGTATTAGCCGCTCTCCCACCCACCTTAACAATCGCAGCCAGGTCAATTTGCCCGCTGACGCTTCTCGAGCACCAGAGCTATAATAAATCTTCTCAAAACCAGGGGGCATATGCTCAGGTGGTCAACTCGAGTCTGCTTGCAAGGCGATCTTGGATTCAAGTCGCACGACAACCCTCAAGACTTTATCCAAATACATGCAGATTTAAATATGCCTTTCGAGCTCTTCCGAGCTCCGTACGAGGAACAAAAGGCACAGCCATTTCAATATGTGCAACGCACCGACGAAGTACCGACGAGTTGTTTTGGTGACAACGGATGACAGCGGTCCATGTGCATCACTTGTGCATCATGCTAGGCGTTTTCAGCCCGTCGACAAATGGCCCTTCTGTTTATCCATGATGGGCTGTGCATACCCGGCCTTGGCCAAGGATCGTCAGACTTATAAACAGGATGCTGATGACGTTAGATACTTTTCCTGCGACCACCATTGTCATGACATCCCTCCCATTGACTGTGGGCTTACTGCTCTCCGTGTGCACTTTTTCACAAGCTGCACGTATAGACCTCCCCATCCAGCTCCAGAACACCTATGTATGGTTTGTTTTCGAGCCCCTGGAGCCTTTTGAGTCTCCCTAACTCTCATTCTTAGCATTCGGTCCCGGTTGGGCTTGGGACGCCGCCAAAGACTTTCCGTTTGATCCCTGACACAGGGTCTGTCCCCTCTTGGGTGCTCAATACAGACTGTGCTCCGGGAAGTAATGCGTGCCCTAATGGCAGTGGGTACGTGGACTTTTATCTACCTTCGACTCATATGGACCCATCGTCGCTCGCGTCAGCTACACCCGTGTTCCATATGACCCCGCAGCCTCCAACACCTCCGTCGCAACTCCATACTACGGCGCTATCAGCTATATTGCCGGCGTGTCGGTCGGAGGCTCTATCTACGAGGACGTCATGTCCTTTACGTCGACTTTGGGCGCCCCCGTGCTATTCAATCAGACATTCATCGATGCCGAGGCATCTGGCTGGCGTTTCCTCCCTGGCGATGGCTACTTTGGACTTGGGTTCTCGACAGCTGCGGAGCCGCATACGGAGTCGATCTTCGAGACGATGGTCCAGGCGGGTGTTGTCGATGAACCTAAGTTCAGCATCTACTTCGGGAACGGGACGGATCCTGTCGACGAAAACATGAACATCGTGCCCAACGATGGAGTCCTCACTCTTGGAGGGTCGCGCGCGGATGAATATGTGGAAGGGGGCGCAGCTTCAGTAAGGCGCTTTGACCTTGTGCCGCCGTACGAGGTGCGTGTCAGCCTGAATGATTTTGCGTTTGTGCCCTTAGATATGCGGGTCAAGGTATGGAAGACAGGCGCATCAGAGGTTCAGTTCTCGGGTGCAGCGAACAAGACATTGTCGCTGGCCGACACGTCGATTGTATTCGACACCGGTACGTGATTGTCTACAATGCTGTTCCCCACGCTGACTGGTACACAGGTGCATCCAATCTCGCTGTCCCGACTAGCCTGATCGAGGAGATGTACGCAGCGATCGGTGCCAACTACACAGCACTCCTCCACGGTGCCCCTCTGCAATGCTCGCAGATGAACGCATCGTGGTCGCTCGAGCTTACCGTTGGCGGGACAATGGAACAGACGATCTCGTTCACTGGCGCTCAGCTGGCGCATCCCGGTCTTGGTGGCCATGCAGAGTGGTGCATCCCGCCTTTCGATGACTTCGGTGGAGAGGGCACATTCATCGTTGGCAATTGGATTATTGCTCGTTTCTACAGCGAGTGGGATCTCGGGGCGACGGAGGTGGCGAATTATCAGCCGACGCTCGGATTTGGTGTGTTGAAGTCTGGGTTGTAGATCTACGCAATAGGACAGTGAGGCTGGTAGGAATGTACACTACGAAGGTGCTAGATGCTAATGTTTAATGGAGCGAGCCGGGTTCACAAGCGCAAGCGTGTGTATCACGTGTCAAGTGTCACGTGTGTGGAACGCGTCGCCAGATCGAATCGGATTTCTGAAAGTTTGTGGCTGTCGTCTTTGATCTCCTCCTCCTCGTCCACCATGTCCGACATCCCAGCCCTCCTGCTCGCATCCCTCTCCCCCCAGTCGAGAAAACAGGCAGAGCAGTCACTGCAAAGTTACAGTCTCCAGCCCGCCTTTGTCACACATCTTCTCCAACTCGTGCTCGATGGCGCCCAAGATCGTGCAGTGCGATTGGCGGGGAGCGTCTATTTGAAGAACGTCGTCAAGCTTCGATGGATGGAGGCTGTTTGTGATACCAACTTGCTCCCTCGATCGCGTCGTCTCTGACCAGTCTCCACAGGATGAGTCGCCCATCTCCGAGCAAGACAAAATCTCGCTCAAGTCTCAGCTCGTGCCTGCCATGATCGCGCTCTCAAATCCGGCAGACAAAGCAATCCGAGCTCAGATAGCCGCATCCGTCTCTCTCATCGCAGAGCTTGACTTCCCGCAGGCATGGCCCGACCTCGTTGACGTGCGTGACCTGCTTATTCGCGAGATTACTGCCATTTATTCGGTCTCGCGTCTGTTAGCAACTTGTGACCTCGCTCAGCGCCGACAATCTCAATATAAATCTCGGCGTTCTCGAGACTGCACACTCTATTTTCGCTCCTTGGCGGTCACAGTCCCGTTCAGATGACCTATTCTCAACCATCAACCTCGTCCTCGAAAAGTTCACCGTCCCGTTCCTCCAGCTTTTCCAGCTCACCCTCCAATTACTCTTCTCCACACCATCTCCCCAAAAGTCCACCTTGGAAACTCTCTCCCAGACCGTGTACCTCCTTGTCGAGCTCTTCCACGACCTCACATGTCAAGATCTGGCCCCCCGTTTCGAAGATGGTCACAAAGATTTTTTTGATAAGGATACTGGCTACTTCATGAGGCTCATGGCGTGGGACCCGACGGAGCTTCAGACTGACGTGAGTCCTATGTCATAACACGACGATGTAGAAACTAACGAATGGCAAACTCTCATCAGTCGGAAGACATAGCCCTATCTGTCCCTTCCAAGATTCGGACAAGTATTCTCGAAATAGCAGAAGTTTGTCTATATCACCTCCCTTCGAGCTCTTTCACTGAAGGTGGCTTGTGCAGATGTATGTCAACCTATACCCTGAAGTTCTTTCCACCACCTCTTCGGTCGAAGCGTTTGTGCGCGCGATCTGGGAGATCGTCGGTGGTGGAAAGCAGCTTGACGCGTCGTATGATCTCGTACGTCTCTCACAGGTATTCCTTGCCCGTTTCTCATCGTTCTCTTAGCTTGTCTCGCAATCCCTTCGTTTCATATCCACCGCTATCCGCTCTGGTTCCTACAAAGAAATATTCGGCTCACGCGAGACCATCTCGGGTCTTATCCAAGGTGTTGTGGTTCCGAACGTTGGTCTGCGAGAACATGACCTCGAGATCTTCGAAGACAGTCCACTCGAGTTTGTCCGCAGCGATCTGGCCCTCATGGAGATCACGACTCCGCGTCAGGCTGCGGGTGACGTCATCAAGGCTTTGGGATCGAGCGGTTTCGGGACGGAAACAACAGAGGTCGTGGGTGAATGGATTCAGAGAGGGCTACAAGATTACTCCGCGCGAAAGGGGAGCGACGACGCTTGGAAAAACAAAGATTCGGCTATATACCTTTTTGAGAACGTCGCAATCAGAACGACGACAACGGTGGGGGATATCTACCCACATTTGCTTTGTCGTGAGCTAACCGTCTATCGTAGCTCGGTGTGACGTCGACCAACGCGCTCGTGGATATCGTCAAGTTCTTCAGTGACAACATCTTCCAAGACCTTCAGGCTGACCCAGGGAGCGTCCATCCTGTATTGCAGGTCGATGCCATTCGGTATCTCTACGTCTTCCGAAATCAGGTGCGTCTGCTCGGTTGCGGTTCACAATTCACCGTCGCTCACAACAAGTGTTCTAAGTTAACGAAAGAACAATTAACTTCGGTTCTCTCTCTCCTCACGCGCCATCTTGCATCTGACAACATGGTAGTCTCCACGTACGCGTCTGTGGCAATCGATCGCATCCTCTCCATTCGATCAGGGACCACAGCGATGTAAGTTCCTCTATCCGTTCTTCCAGCGAGACTCACCATTTTGCTCAGGTTCAATGCTTTGGACGTCGCCGAGTTTGCGCCTCAACTGATCGACATGCTCCTGAGCAAACTCGAGACAAGCACGAGTCCAGAGAAAGTGGCCGAAAACGACTTCCACATCCGATGTAAGGGTTGTGCTTCATGTCCACTGCGAGCATCCTGATAAGTGTGTTCGTAGGTGTCATGCGGCTCATATTGACTGCACGGCATACCCTTGTCGGCGGGTATGAGAGCATATTGCAGCGTCTTGTCGCGATTCTCGGCATAACGTCCAAGAACCCAAGCAATCCGCTTTTCGATCAATATATGTTTGAAAGCGTGTCCGCCCTTATCAGGTGTGTAGAGCCGTATAGCGTTGTCTCAGTATTTGATCCATACGAACTCCAGATTCATTGGCCCCGCAAAAGCCGATGCAATCAGCATATTTGAGCAGATGCTGTTCGGCCCATTCACTGTTATCATCCAACAGGATATCGATCGTGAGTCGTCTGCCCCTTCATATCCGACAATTTCTGACCTACACCTGTCAGAGTACATACCGTACATCTTCCAGATTCTTGCCCAGATGCTGGATCAGCATTCTGGCGTGCCAAGCGACTACCGCTCTCTCTTGCCATTCTTGCTCACCCCTTTCACCTGGCAACAAAAAGGCAATGTGCCTGGACTTGTGAAACTTCTCAAAACCTTCCTCGTCCGCGATTCCGCTCAGATGGTCGCGACTGGCCAATTCGCGAGTGTGCTCGCCGTCGTGCAGCAGCGCCTCATCCCTTCCCGAAACAATGACGCTTGGGGATTCGAGTTACTACAGGCCGTTGTGCGCAATGTTCGCCCGTAAGTTTCAGTTTTCTGTGCCGGCTTATAACCATCGTCTAAATATGGGTTTCTAGATCTGACCTAGAACAGTACATTCGGCCGATCCTGATTACTCTTCTTACACGTCTGCAAACCAGCAAGACAGACATTTACGTGTATTATTTCGTATATTTTCTTATGTACACGATGGCCATTCAGGTCGAGGGACTCACCCCGAATTTCATCATTCTTGCAGTGGAAAGTATCCAACCCAGGTATGTCATCGCGCTTGGGGGCATCTGCTAGCTCACCGTCGTGCGCTCTAGTCTGTGGTCACAACTTTGCATCAACTTCGTCATCCCGCAGGCTCCGAAACTCCAGCCAAAGGATCGCAAAGTCGCAATAGTGGGCTTAACGCGTATGCTCACGCAAAGTTCTATCACGATACAGGAGCCAAGCGTCAAGTTATGGTAAGCACCTTCTAAGGCTCGTTTGCCATGGTGTATCGTATTAAATACCATTTTCAGGCCCGACTCGCTCGGTGCTCTCGCTCGTCTCTTCTACCAACCCGATGCTCTGAAACGGGACGCTGCCGATGATCCACACGCTGGACTAACAGCCATCGATCTCGAGGAGCAATCTGCAGGCTATCAAGCCGCATACGCGCGGCTTGCAGCAGCCGAAGCTGTCCCAGAGGACCCTGTCGGATACATCGGGGACCTTCGGCAGTTTGTGATCAATGAACTCGCGCAGCTCGCTCGCACCAACCAAGGAGCGAAGACCATGATTCAAACCCAGGGTTCTTTCGTTAACGACATAGCGGCGGTCTCGTAGTCCGCTCTATCAAGCCGTGAAATGCATTGTATAATGCTACGTAATAGAGAACACGTTGAAAATGGTGCACACGATTATTTCACTTTAATTCTATAACCTCCAATTTCGACACGAAAGAAGCACCCTAATACATCTCGATGACACCTGTAGCTGCATGTAGCCTGTCCGTAATTCGTAGACGCCATGGTCGCGAGAGGCTAGCCTTGTGGCTAGCTCGAGAGCAAACAGAGTTGAGATCTGTCTGTCGGACGATATGATCATCAGAAGGAAGGACAATTTTTAAGAAAGCATACGGATGCGATTGCCCAATTCATCATTCAAGTATGATTTGCCGGCACCATTAGACTGCAGATTACCGATCATTCTGCCTTAATGAATGTCATGCTTGTGTATGAGCTGATGGATTCATGCTCTGGAAGGGCACAAAACATCGGGAAATTGGGAAGGGTCCGCTATCCCTAGATGGCACTTGGCGGAGTTGGCCGCAGCCCAGCAGACTGCAAGGCCTATTTTAGGCCTTGAATAGGCCTTGAAATGGATTGTAATTGGCTAACATCTGGAAAACCTCCTCTCTTAATTAGATCTAATTATTCAAAATACCAATCTAAGCTAATTAGAATATATTATCCATAATCAACTTTATGATCAAATTTGCAATTAAGGAGACATTGTCTATATTATCACAGTCCCATTCTAACCTGAAAAGCTAGAAGGTTCAGGGTAGGACAGGGGTATGGCAGGGCTAAAGAGGCCATTAAGAGGTGAAGAAGCCACCCATGCCAATACATGGCTGACATGATGAGCCTGTCCACGGCTGGAGAGGCTCGTCATGTCAGCCGTGTATTGGCAGGGCTGAGTCCTGATACGTGGCTGACATGACGAGCCTCACTGCGGCTGGAGAGACTTGTCATGTCAGCCACGTATCAGCTTGGCTGAGTCTTGATACACGGCTGTCATGACGAGCCTCACTGCAGCTAGACAGGCTCGTCATGTCAGCGTATTGGCAGGGCTGAGTCCTGATACGTGCCTGACATGACAAGCCTGTCCGCTGCTAGATAGGCTGTTCAGGTAGGTCTTAAAGTTTCAACCTCTCTTATCACTGCCGCGTTCTGCTCATATACTTATGGATGTATCATATTATTCATGTATGTGTGTGCGCTGCACCGCGATTCAACGCACCCGTGAAAGCCTGCAATCTTCGATGATCTCGCGCAAGAAGCCTTTACACTTTGCCGACATTCGCTTTGCGCTGCCGCTGAGATGATAGAGGCCAGAGCCACGGGTGCTGCGCTGGATGCGCATCTGCTCACACTTAAACTTGATGCGTGATCCTGATCCAGTCTTGAGTTTGAACCCGACGTGCATCATTGCCTACACACCACAAGTTAGAGCGCTCGCAATACCACCAAAGCATCACTTACTCTCGCAAAGTCATCCCAACTCACCGATCCCCGCGCCCCCGAACCCACCAGCAACTCAAGAACCTGTCCTTCCGGTGAGTAACTACATCCCAAGGCCGCTTATGACGCTTAACGACTCACCTCGTACGATCGACGATCGACGGTGATCGACGGTATCATGGAAATGGCTGTGTACCTGGGCAATCTTGAAGGGACTTGTGAACACGGATGACATTAGCTGCTGGAGGGAAGGAGACGCAAAGTGTAGCGACGTGGATGGGTCTTGAGGGCGCGGTTGCGTTAGCAGTTGGTAGAGAGTCAATGTGTCAGCTCAAGTGAGTACTGTTGAATCGCGGTGTATGAACCGCTTATGTCGTCCTTTTACGGGGCCTACATTCCCTGCCTACGCCCATACCCCTTCACCGACCGCCCCCACTCGACCACCTCTCCTTCGCATGACGCCGGACCACTACCACGAGACTATCCGATCAGTATACTGCGCATCAGCGAGGGTAATTACGTTGGAACGGACGGTACAGGTTACTTGGTGAGTCGCGTCCCACCGTATACAGCCCTCCTCCTTCCTTCATCACCCTTGTCTGCAACACGCATCTCTGACTCCCGCACAGACGACACGCTCGCGGGGCGTCCCTCCTCGCCCATATTCCTCTCTACGTCTGCACCGTCTGCCGCCCACTCCCTCAGACCACACGCTCATTACACTTCTCCTCCGCGTCTAGTCCTCCACCGGACTCTTGGGCTCGCTCGCCTTCCGCCCGCTCCCTCGCCCGACTCGCGCCGGCTCCCGCTGACGGCACGCGCTCTCTATCCCTTGCCCGACTCGCGCCGCTCCCTCAGACGACACGCGCGTCGCAAATCGCGCCCACACATCTCACAGGCACGCGGGGTGTGCCTCCTTCCTTCCCCCGCGATTCCGTGTCTGCCAGCCCACAGGAGCGTTGTGTCCTCCCAACGCGCGCCCGCTCCCTCTGACGATACGCACCCACTTCCTCTGACGACTTGCGCCCGCACACTCCCGCTGATGACCCGCGCTCTCTGTCTCTCGTCCGACTCGCGCCGGCTCCCGCTGACGATACGCGCGTCGACCGACTCGCCCCCGCACACCCCTGCTGACGACACGCGCCCTCTATCCCACGCCCACGATTCCGTGTCTGCCGGCCCATAAGAGCTTTCTGCCCGATGCGCGCCAACTCTCGCTGACGACAGTGCCCACCCACACGACGTGCGCGCGAATCCGCCTCCACCCTACATCATCCCTCATCGCCAGCTTCCTCCTCCCCTTGTGGTCCGTCCGCCGATCTTCTCTCGATCCCTCGTCACTCCACCTGCGACACGCCTGTGCCCTGCCCACTCTTGCCCGCTGAGACAACGAGCGTGCGAGCCTGCCTACAGCATCCCACGTCCCTCCACGCCCACCTCCTTGTCCACAACGGATCCTAGTGCCGTCCTCCTCCTCGATCCCTCGTCCGCGAATACCTTGTGTGTGCCCGACTCGTGCGCGCTCGAACGACACGCTTGCGGGTCCTCTACCTGGCTCCTGCGTCCCTTCTCGTGTGGTCCCTGCGTCGGCCATCTCCCGCATCCCTCGACCACGAGTCTCTGATGCCCGCCCGAGTCGCGCTCCCTCAGACGACGCGCGCGCGAGTCTGCATCCCACATCTAGCTTCCTCTCTCATCGTACGCCTCATCGTCCGCGTGTGGTCCCTGTGCCGTTTCCGGAGGAGCACAGAAGAGGGAAGGAAACGGTCGACGAGGACATCTACAAAGGTACGTCGTCACTCGCCCCAGTTCCTCCCCCGTACACGCACACCTCCCGCCTTCTACCTAACTCTCTATGTCGCCTTCAACAATCTACCCCTCGACTCTACCCGCCCCCTCCTCTCGTCCGCTCAACCTCTCTCACGTCCGACCCGCTCTCCCGTCCGACCCGCTCTCCCGTCCGACCCGCTCTTCTGTCCGACCCGCTCTCCCGTCCGACCTGCTCTCCCGTCCGGCCAGGTTATGGCTGCTCGCTCACTTGACCTCCTCATTAGACAATCCCACCCTGATGCATGCACATGCGACCCCTCGACGACAGGAACTTGCCTTTGCCTGTGTTCACCGCGCGTCTGACGCGTCCTCGCCGTGACGCGAGCAACCGTAGGTCTGGGCTAAGGTCCAGTGGTACTACTCCGGCGCTGACGTCGCCAACGACACCGACACAGAGTGAGTCTCCCACAGTCCTTTCCATTCCACAGACCTCTTTGGTTGTCCACGCTAACGCCGCCGCCGCCGCCGCACACGCCCCCAAAAAAGCCCCGCCAACATCCAGGCAAGCTACGGCCGCTACGAGCGCCTGCGCGCCGACGAATCCGACTACGACTACGTCGCGCATACCTCCTTCAACGGTGCGTCCTCCGCCGCACCTCTCCCCGCCCGCGACGGCTGACTGACGGCGCTGCATGTTGAAGGCCCCACGAAGGTCATAGAGCACCGCGAGGCGGACATCGAGCAGCCCCAGATCGCCAATGGCGAGTTCTACGTCCGCCGTGCGTACTTCCGCCTCTCCAAGTGTGCCACCATGAGCCCCTCACCCTCACCCGTCGCCCTCCCGATCCTCACAAACCCCCTCAAATCCCCACACACCCCTCCCGCCCCCGGCCAAAACTCAAAGACCTAGTCACCTGCACCGCGGACTGCAACACCGTCTACAACCTCGACGATGCGCGCCCCATGCACTTCTGCCCCAAGCCCACCTGCCGCCAGTGGTTCCCCTGCAACTGCCTCGAGCACGCCGAGTTGCACGACGCGCACGACTCCGTCGACACGCACGCGTTCAACCTCCTGCGCTCAGATCCAGACAGCGACGACCCCTTCCCCCTTCCACCCCCCTCCTCACGAGGGAAGGGAAATGGCACGGGCGCGCCGTGGACGCTCCCCGCGCTCCCCGCGAAGCTGCACGAAGCCGCCGCGCAGCAGATGCTCGAGGGCGTCCCGCCCTACGGCCTCATCGGCAACGCACAGCCCATCGCCGCTGCGCGCCCGGCGACGCCCGCGCGGCCAGGACCGCGCTCGACGAGTGAATGGAGCGCGTGGACAGCACCAACGTCGAGGGCATGCCCGCGGACGGCGGGGGCTCGCCGGAGGCCGTTGGGGGGTGCGCGGTCTGACTGCGGCGGTGAGAGCCCCCAGCTTTATTTCGTGGCGCTTTTTGGTCCGTTGTGTGGAGGTGCCATTTGATACCACATACCTTTGCGACTCACGAGAGGGTCCTTTCTTGGTCGAATTTTACCTTATGATGTCTTGTATGAAGAGTTCTTACGGGGGGCGGTGACGATCCTGCCCTAGCAGATGACTGTGCGATCGAAGATACACCCGTCGCTACAATGAAGAGATAGCAATACATCGTCGCGCGCCTACGGCTTCTCCGCTCTCGCCGCGAGCTTCTGATCCAGCTTCGCCTGGAGAATGCGGGAAGGACGTCAGCGCCGGCTGGTCCATCGCGGCGGGTAGAAGAGCGCCACGCACCTTGACGGCATCCGTGTACACGTCGGTCACGACCTAGTCCTCGCGGCGCATCGCCTTGCCATGGATTGTGAGCACGAGGTCCTTGGTCATGATGCCGTCCGCGTCGGTCGCCTCGGTGCACGCCGCCTCGAGGTCGCGCGCGAACGCGGCGAGCGCGGAGTTCGCGTCGAGCTTCGCGCGGTGGAGCAGCCTGCGCGTCCACGCGAAGATGGACGCGACCGGGTTCGTGGAGGTCTCGTTGCCCTTCTGGTACTCGCGGTAGTGCCGTGTGACCGTGCCTGTGCGCGCAGGCGCGTGCACACGCACAAAAACATCAGCGAGCGTTCAGAGGAGAGCGCGGGGGACGCTGCACGCACCGTGCGCAGCCTCGCTCTCGATGACCTGTCCATTGGGGGTGATGAGCGAGCTCGTCATCCCGAGGCTGCCGAAGCCCTGCGCGAGAATGTCCGACTGCACGTCGCCGTCGTAGTTCTTCGTCGCCCAGACGAACCCGCCGGAGGACTTGATCGCCTGCGCGACCATGTCATCGATCAGGCGGTGCTCATAGTAGATGCCCGTGGCCTCGAACTAGGGCTTGTATTCCCTGCGTACCCGGGGACGCGTCAGCACGCGACGAGAGGGAGAGGGAGAGGGGCGACGCACGACTTATAGATCTCCTAGAAGATGTCTTTGAAGCGGCCGTCGTATTTCTTGAGGATTGTGTTCTTCGTCGACATGAACTGAAGCACCTCACACCTGAGCGACGGGTCTCGCGGGGAGGAGGAGAGAGGACCGTATGAGGGGCATCTTCTTCGCCAGCGCCATTTTGAACGACGAGTGCGCAAGGCCCGTGATCGGCTGCGGCACCGGCGTCAGCGAGATCGTCGCCCGTCGCGCACACAACGAACAGGAACGGCGCGCACCTCGTCAGTGTTGTACATCGCCATCGCCACGCTCCTACACTGGAAGTCGTACATGTCGAGCGTCGTCGGCGCGGCGCCGTCCGCGGGCGTGTACACGAGCTGCAGCTTCCCCAGGCCCGGCGCGACGAAGTCTATCGAGCGGTACTGGTCACCGAACGCGTGCCGCCCGATCACGATGGGGTTCACCCAGCCCGGTATCGGCCGCGGGATGCGCTCGAGGATGATCGGCTCGCGGAAGTCGGGGCCGCCGAGGGTGTTGCGGATCTGCGGGTGCTGCCTCAGCGACGAGAGGGGGAGACGAGGCGGGGAGCGCACCGACGGTCCCGTTCGGGCTCCGCCACATCTGCTTCAGCTTGAACTCCTTCACGCGCGCCTCGTCGCGCATGATCGTCGCGCATTTGATGCCGATCTTGTGCTCGAGGATCGCGTTGGCGGAGTCGATCATGATCTGGCCATTTGTCTGCCCGTGGGGGTATCATCGACCCTGTCCACAGAGAGGAGATAACGGGGGCTCATGGCGTCGCGGGCCTCTAGACCGAGGTCAAAGTATTCGATGTCCAGTTTGAGATAAGGAAGGATGAGCTGCGATGCGGGGTTTGCGCGTGAGATTTCGAGGGCGGGCCAGGGGAGAAATAGGAGACGACGCACCTCCTCGCGGATTTTCTTCCAGATGATGCGCGTCACCTCGTCGCCATCGAGCTCGACGACGGGGTTCTTCACAACGATCTTGTGGTCTGGAGAAATTTTGTGGTCTGCAGCCCCATTTCCGAAACCACGCAAAACCGCCCGCAGAAGCAAGGAAACGGGGCAAAACACCGAGCTATGCCGGAGCGTCGCAGACAAACCATAAGCTGCGGTGTGCGGCGGCTGAGGTCGTAGAAGAGCGCGGTGAGCAGGGCGTTATCGGTGCAGTCGATGGAGCGCAGGCGGCGGGGGGCACGATTAAGTCCTCGGCGTGCGGCTGCGAAGCACGCCACGCAGTGAGGGCGCGTGCGCGTGCGAGATGCTTGTCCAGGGCAGAGGGCCAGGCGACGCGGAGGCGCGGGACGCGGTATTTGTGCGCGAGGCGCAGAATACCGGAGATGGTCGGGAAGTTCTCGATGGTGATTTGGGAAGTGTCGATAGTGCTGACAGAGGAGCAGGGAGAAGAGAAGGACCAGGCGAGTGAACAATGGATGAGGAGATTTTGAGTGGCGAGGCCGCAAATGAGTCTACGCACAAACCATCGTATATTGTGTTTAATAATGCCTCCATTTCGTCCTTGTCGTCGACGACCTTGAGCGACGTACAACCGCGCAGGGTGTCGCGCGCGGGGGCGAGCATCTCCTGGAATAAGGTGGAGTGCTTGAGGAGGATGCTGCGGTGGACGCGGAAGAGGGTCTTGCCGCACTGTAAGATGACGTTTCCGTCATCGAAGTAAAGCGCTGGGTGATTTATGAGCAGCTCGGCATCGAGCTCGGTGCGCGGGCGTTTGTGGTCAGAGGGTGGATCGATGGAGGCCATGCTCGTCGAACCTGTCGCTAGCGAGGGGAAGGGTTTCCTGATCACGTGACAGCGTCTTCGTTGACGTCGCGTCACTGCTATTCGACAAGCTTTCATCTTCGACACACATAAGTACGGTAGTAGGCCTCATGCAACTTCAACCTTCCGGAATGTCGCTGACTGTTTCACTGATGTGCGCAGATACATGTGCATGTGAGATTATCGAATACCAAATCCCTTAGACGCCCGTCTCCTCGCTGGTTGCATGCGGACGTGCCCACTGCCCATAGCCCTTCAAGTCTCTCTGCCACTATGCACCACCTATCAGCTGCTCTGCGCGACCTACTCTCCAGCGCATTCCCTTGTCTCTCCCCCTCACATAGAGCCATGTCCTCCCCCAACGATGTCCTCTACTTTCCCAAGGAAGAATTCATCTACAACGTGACTGGATGGGCGGGGTTCGTCCTCTTCACCCCCACCCCCTCAGAGGACCGTCCGCGCATCGCCAGCATAGAACACTGCAAGCGGAAGCGCGGCGTCTTTCACGAGTTTCTCATCATCCATTTCGAGTACCCCGTTCTAGGTGCTCCCCCACGCACCGTGCCCATCATTGTCGAGCGCACGATCGAGACCAGCCGGCTCCCCAAAGACAAGATCCGCCCCGGCGCCGACCTCTCCCACGAGAACGGCAGCCGCTTTTCCGCCTTGTTCCAATCATCGTCCTCCTCCCGCCTCAGCTTGTCCCCCAGCTCCGTGGCCTCGTCCTCGTCCTCTTCCCTTGCGACGCCCGCCTTCGACCGCATCATCATCCCCCCGAATGGCGCACCCGTCGGCAAAATCGACCGCCACGCCCGCCGCCCGTATAAGATCTGCCGCAAGCTCACGTTTAATAAGCGCTTTACCGACTACGACCTCGCTGCGTTGCTGCTTGCGCTCCAGAAATACGCTCCCGACTACGCGCTCCTCTCGCGTCAGTGCTACTGGTACGCGATCGTGATCTACGATTTCTTCCGCGAGCGCCTCATCGGCCTTGGCAACGAGGACGGCAAGGAGGTCGAGTACAATGTCGGCAAGCTCAAGGATGAGCGTGGGCGCTTCCTCACTATCTTCACCATCCAGCCCCCTGAGCCGCCGCTGGGCAAGATCAAGTCTGAGTTCGAGAAGCAACTTGCCGCGCTGTTGGACGAGAGGGCCCGGGAGGATCACCCCGCCGCCAAGTGGGTGAGGTCGCAGGAGGAGACGCGAGCGGCCATTGCAAAGGCGGAGGAGGAGGCAGCGGCGAGGGAGAGGGCGGAAGCCGCCGCAAAGGAAGAGGCAGCAGCGAGGGTGGAGGCCGAAGCGGCGGCGAAGGCAGCCGACGCCAGGGCGGAGGCGGCAGAGGCAGCGAAGGCTCTGCTGGACGATGAGGTTGCCCTCCTCCGGCAGCAGCTCACGGCCCTGAACCGTGCTGGCCCGTCCCCGGCCGCGTAATATCATACCAAGTATATCATCTATCTTCCACTGATCGTCAAGTCTGCTCTCATATATGCTCTGATCGTTGTTGTCCATGTACATCCCAGCACTCTCACATTCGGCTATCTATACCACTTGCATTGTCCATTCATGCTTGAGTTCGCTATGTGTTCCCTGAGGCCAAGACTTTCTTGGTTGAGTCCTTGCGTGTATGGCAGCTCCAGCAGGCTCTCTGCTGTGCTGAAGCGGAATCGTCTTACATTAGAGGACCCTTGGCTAAATGTATGACTAGGGACGCGCAAATGTTGAATCTTCTAGGTATCAGCGGTCCCTCGTGCAATCCACAAAAAATCGAGCCCGCTGGTGACGTGGACGAGATGTTTGCGCCAGGTGATCTCGTACTTGTGGAGGTAGAAGAATTTCATCGACATGCAGCTTGCGATGAGCAAGCAAGAGGACGCTCGCTTGAAGCTTCAGGCAATCTGCTTTAGCCAAAACCTCAAATACACCAGGGCCACCTAGGGCCCAGGCTCCTACCCACCACCATGTCGAGGGCAAGGGTCTATTACTATTCTAACCTGAAAAGCTAGAAGGTTCAGGGTAGGACAGGGGTATGGCAGGGCTAAAGAGGCCATTCTAACCTAGTAGTATTACCGACACTTTTGAGTCCACCGATATCCAAAACTACTGTGTTGCCAATTAAATGTAAGTATAAATATGAAAAAATCCTTTTTGTAATCTTCATACCCTACTCCAACTTTGAGGCCCAGAAAATGTGAGATTGAATCAGGGGTTTAATTCTAACCTGAAAAGCTAGAAGGTTCAGGGTAGGACAGGGGTATGGCAGGGCTAAAGAGGCCATTCTAACCTAGTAGTATTACCGACACTTTTGAGTCCACCGATATCCAAAACTACTATGTTGCCAATTCTAACCTGAAAAGCTAGAAGGTTCAGGGTAGGACAGGGGTATGGCAGGGCTAAAGAGGCCATTAAGAGGTGAAGAAGCCACCCATGCCAATACACAGCAGACATGACGAGCCTGTTTGTGGCTAGAGAGGCTCATCATGTCAGCTGCGTATTGACAGGGTTAGGTTATAAGAGGTGGTAGGCGGATGGTAGGCGAGACGAAAAAAATCCAAGATGTTGGGCAGGTGAGGAGGCAGGTGAGAGGCTAGGTGAAAGGCTAGTTGAGAGGCTAGGTGAGGAGGCAGGTGAGAGGCCAGGTGAGGAGGCAGGCGAGAGGCTAGTAGTATTACCGACACTTTTGAGTCCACCGATATCCGAAACTACTGTGTTGCCAATTAAATGTAAATATAAATATGAAAAAATCCTTTCTGTAATCTTCATACCCTGCTTCAACTTTGAGGCCCAAAAGCAGTGAGATTGAATCAGGGGCTCAATAGATATGGATTTAAACAGTCTAGCCCCTAAAACCAGACTGTGTAAAGCACAGTCTGGGTTTTGGGAACCAAATCCGAAGTTGCACACAATTCTGTCTGATTCAATAGGCTTAAAATGTATTTGTCATGGTACCCTAATATTTTCATTAGTAGACATGGAGTACTAAAGATGTTACAGGCAAAATACAGAATTGAGGGAAAACCTCAAAAAACCGAGTCTCCAGTCCACAATTCTAACCTGAAAAGCTAGAAGGTTCAGGGTAGGACAGGGGTATGGCAGGGCTAAAGAGGCCATTAAGAGGTGAAGAAGCCACCCATGCCCATATACACGGCTGACATGACGAGCCTGTCCGCGGCTGGAGAGGCTCGTCATGTCAGCCGCGTATTGACAGGGATGAGTCCCGATACGCGGCTGACATGACGAGCCTCTCTGGCCGCGGACAGGCTCGTCATGTCAGCCGTGTATATGCGGGTGGGTGGCTTCTTCACCTCTTAATGGCCTCTTTAGCCCTGCC